CATGTGCGAATCATTTTAAACACAATTACCACTTTTCTTAACGGTGAAGTAAAACATCGTGAGGAAACCTGCATGTCTGAGAGAACCTAGCAAGTTTTCAAAAGACATGTGAAGTCTGCCAACCTGCACTTGACCAGCCGGCAGGACTATGGCCTTATTCCCCCTCGTACTGAAGGGAGGCCCGTGCCCAGCAGAGGGACGTTAAAAGGGGCTGAATAGATACATACATAAATACACAGATACATACAAAAGGTATCCTAAATGTTGACTCGAGTAATAAGTTATCACTTCACCAAATTTCGTTGAAATCGGTACATTACTTTTCGCGTGAAATGCTCACGCAAAAACGGACAAACAGACATACAGGCAAACAGACAATTTTTTTAATAACTATCTATTGTTTTGGGGTCTATGTTGTGTACATAATACGTTACAAATAAACGAAAACATCTATCCCACGGGAACAGTACATTTTACCGGGACAAAAAGTAACCTATTTGTTATTCTGATGTATGAACTATATATATTATTGTAAAGTTTTATCTAAATCCAATCAGTAGTTTTTGTGTACTAAGCTGTATAATTTGTTATAGTTTTTTAACTATCCCACGGGAACTCTTTAATTTTCCGGGATGAAAATTATCTAAGATGTTGCCCGGGGATAAAAGGTACCATGCAAAATTTTCTTTAAATCAATCCAATAGATTCGGAGATTAGCCCGTACAAACAGGAAAACAGACAAACAGCTCGCTCGGGTTCGTCCATATCTACGAATATGTTGTATTATCTCTTTAACCATTTGTCCAAATTATATATAGTAAAAGAAAAAGTCTTTTGTTTTAAACATTTTAGACGATAAATTTACTTATTTTGATAAGAATTCATAAATGTTGATAATATGACCAATAAACATGACCTACCGATTTAAATATTTTTTTTTAATATAAAAACTACTTTTTGTGACTTAACTATAAAAGTTAGACATTTATAAGATTTAAATCTCTGTGTGTCACTGACTTTTTTGTAGGCATTATTAAGCTCTACAACTTTTCTCTAAAACAAAATCATATATCTCTCATCGTTAAGGCAGCGTTCGTAAGAAACATTTTCGTTTGACCGCTTTTTCGCCGACTTACTTTGCAAATCCGACTACCACGAAAAAGTCTTTTCATTCTTCGGGTTAATATATAGCCTATGACACTCAAAAAGAACGTGGTTTTCTATTGGTAAAAGAATTTTGAAAATCGGTTCAGTAGATCCAGAGATTACTCCCCCCTACAACATCACAAACTCACAAACTCACAAGATCACAAACTTTACCTCTTTATATTATTATTATGTATATTGTCTCAACTTTCGTTGCTATTTGGCTTCCGAAGACGGGCATCTACCAAGTCTTTCGGGGGCCCTATGGGGATAATGATGAGGGGTTTAGAAATCGACGTACTATCGAGCATGTGTCTAGAACTATTGACTTTTGTTTTTTTTTTATGGAACTAAGGGGGCAAACGGGCAGGAGGCTCACCTGATGAAAAGTGATCACCGCCGCCCATGGACATCTGCAATACCGCAGGGCTTGTTGCTTGTTTCGTTGCCGGCCTTTAAGAAAGGAATACGTTCTCTTCTTGAAGGTGGCCAGGTCGTAGCGGTTCGGAAAGACCGCCGGCGATAGCTGGTTCCACAGAGTGGTTGTGCGGGGCAGAAAATGCCTTAAAAATCGCACTGTTGTGCGCTGGACATCGAGATGGTGTGGATGGAATTTACTATTTTGGCGCGATGTCCGATGGTGAAATTCAGCAGCCGGGATCAGTCCGAACAATTCCTCGGAACACTCCCCGTGATAGATGCGGTAGAAGATGCAGAGTGATCCAACATCTTGATCGTCGATAACTCGAATCGCCCTACGTTGAATGCGGTCAAATGGAAGTAGCTGGTACTGGGGAGCTCCCGCCCAAAGATGAGAACAGTACTCCATGTGGGGCCGAATTTGCGCCTTATAAAGAATAAGACGCTGACGCGACCTGAAGTACTGTCTCGCCTTGCTGAGCACACTAAGCTTCTTTGAGGCCAGTTTGGCCTTACCTTCCAATTGACCACGGAACTGGACGTTGCTCGAGATGTCGACGCCAAGTATTCCGATACTGGCTGTGGGAGACAGAGGTGTGTCTTCAAATTGAGGAGCTACGATAAATAGCGACTTTTTAGCAGAAGGAACAGAGTAGGAGACAGTACACAGCCTTGTGGAACACCAGCATTGACATATTTAGGATCAGAGCAAGCACCGTCGACAACGACCTTAATGCTCCGATCTGCCAAAAAGCTGGTGATCCAGTTGCAAAATTTCTCGGGGAGCCCATAGGAAGGTAGCTTCGAAAGAAGCGCTTTGTGCCATACCCGATCAAAGGCCTTCGCTATGTCCAGACTGGCTGCAAAACTTAATATATGTTGATTTGTGTAATTCTAACAGTTCTATAGATTTATGTAGAGTTTTGGGTACTACTCCTGTGGATGAAAGAATTATAGGTACTATCTTTATTGGGCTTTGGTGCCACATATCTTTAATTTCGTCTGCAAGTGGAATATATTTTTGGATCTTTTCTTGATGCTTGGTTTTCAGATTTTCGGTGTTAGGTATGTATATATCGATGAGGTAAGTGGTCTTTAAGGATTTTAATGTAAGTGTGATATCAGGTCTGTTGCATGCTATTGTTTTGTCTGTTATTATATCTACATTCCAATATAGTTTAACTGTTTCATTTTCAAGGACATTGGAGGGTATATATTTGTAGTAAGGCGTGTATGTACTAATTAGTTTATAATTCAATGCTAAGTTTTGGTGTATCTGTTTCGCAACGTTGTAATGTCTTTTGATATATTCTTTTGTAGCTAATATCTTGCAACCTCCTGTTATGTGATTTATTGTTTCCTTATTTTGATGGCATAACCTACATAAATTTGTCTCTATTGATTCTTTAATTATGTACTTAGAGTAGTTTCTGGTTTTAATAATTTGGTCTTGGATAGCTATAAAGAAACCTTCTGTTTCGGCAAATATGTTACCTTTTATAAGCCATGTATTTGAAGCTTCCTTGTCTATGTGAGTCTGTTCGAGTTGGTGGGGGTATTTACCGTGTAGTGCTTTTTTCTTCCAATCTTCTACTTTTTTTGCTCTGATATTATCTTTGTTTCAGGTTCATAGTCTCTGTCATTGAACTGGAGGGGGGTACCAGCTGTGGTCAGTGTGGTAATATCTTTGTGTAGTTTGCTGTTATTGGCTTTACTAAGAAAATATAAACGCAAGTTTTCTATTTGGGTAAAATGTAAACTTTTAATGTCGATAAACCCGCGACCACCATGTTTTCTTTGTAGTGTGAATCTTTCAGTTGATGTGTGAATGTGATGAATGTTATGTTTGTTTGCTTGAGAACGTGTCATTGTGTTAAGGGCATTTAGGTCTTTTTCGGTCCACTTAATAATTCCGAAAGAGTACATAAGTATGGGGACTGCGTATGTGTTGATGGCCTTTGTTTTGTATCGGGCGGATAGATGGGTTTTGAGTATTGTATTGAGTCTTTGACTGTATTTTGTTTTAAGGGCTTGTTTTATGTCTGTATGATTTAAGCAGGTGCTTTGCTGGTATCCTAAATATTTGTTTATTTCTTTTTAAACCATAGTGCTTATAGCGCCTTCCTGTAGTGTTAGATTGTATGTTTCTGTTTTCTTATGCTGTCCTTTTGATATGCTGTTGATTTTACATTTGTCAGTCCTAAAATTCATTTTTATATCATTGCTAAATTGTTCTGTTTGTTTTAATAAATGGATTCTAAAATTCAAAATCGTTCTGCAATTTAAATGCCCTTCCCAATTATCGGTGTTTACTGTTTACATGCGAGGCTGTTGCTCTGCTAGAAGCAATCCTGTTCACACTATCCTATCTATGACTTTCAACAGCCATAAAAGAGAGCCTATTTTATATCAAATCAATGTATAATACTTTCTAATTAATAATACTGTCTTATATATTTTAAAAAATCGATCTATTCTATTGCTTTGAGGATTCGTGAAGCCTTGTTCCGATGTCATTGTAGAGGCTTACCAACAACTTTAGTGTGGATCCTAGGTCACTCAGGTATTCCTGACAATGAAACTGCAGATTCATGTGCTCGAATTCTGCTCTTACAAACATGCGGAACGTTCGGTATTCGGGATCTGTTGACTGTTGCAAAATCCTATTTAGATAAAGGATGGAGTATTTATTGGAACTCATCAAAATCTTTTAAGGGTAATCATTATGGTGTAATTCAGTCACAGATACCAAGATGTCCATGGATCTCTCCTTGCAAACAGGCGGAATATTGGGTATTATTAACTATTAGTCGTTTTCGTCCTGGACACGCATGTACTCCTATTCAACTGGCGAAGATCAGAGTCAGAGACCACTCCCTGTGTGAATGTGGCCTTGATGAAGGTAATTTATCCCACAGCTGTCCTAAACTCCTTCATCCTCTATATGACGTTCTCCCTTCTAAAGTCCCTCATCCCATTAATGTTAATTGTTTGAAAATGCTGGTGTATAGTCCATTATGTAGATTTTTGTAAATATTTATTAAATTTTATTATATGAAATTGTAAAATATTAAATTAATTTATACTAATTGTGTGTGTGTGTGTTATGTGTATTTATATTGTATGTACTTTATTGTGATGTCTTATTTGTTAAGTCTAGATCATACATTAATTCCTCATGTTTTATATGTACATAAAGAGACCTCAGTTTGAATATTTCTTTTTTAACTGGTTATTATCTTATCTACACCATATCTTCTCCATTCTATACTACATTGAAGAAGTAATCTGTGCCCAACCGGCACGCCTAAAATCCAAACGACAAAGAATTAAATTGAAACTAAATAATATGACTTCATAGCTAAAAAGTACCTATTATCTAAGATAAAAAATATGATCGTTGATTTCGTTATTTTGTCTTATTTCAGGTTGACATGGTGGTAAGTGTCGATCCACATTATGCCCATCCAGATATACCACATCATATTGGAAGAATGAAGGAACCGAATAGATTGGATGCTCAATTTTTTAAAGTCACGTTCAACCAAGCCATGACTATGGATCCTATGTGCAGAAAGTTAATGGAACACTCGTATAGTGCTATTTGTGATGCTGGTAATGTTTATATATTAATAATATAAAAACTTAAAAGAGTAAATATAAGGGGACTTCAAGAAAACACTAAAAAGTAAAAAATATCTGATCGTTATCTTTCATTTACTATAGATACCAGATAGAACAAGAAGGTCTAATGTAATTGGTGTTAATATTTGTATTATTTTTAAGGAATCAATCCACTCACGTTGGACGGTAAAAAAATTGGTATATACGTAGGAATAGCTTACATGGATATCGTTAAAGCTTTTATGGAGAAAGGCAACTATACAAATCCATTTTTTCTTAGTGGGTAAGTTGTTGAGATTTTTATTTTCAAGCCTAAGTTATGTAACCTATAATATATATTTTTTGTTACAATTTAGTGATATTAAATTTTTTATCTATGTCACTACTATCATGTCTAGTATAAGTAATACACTAGTAAGAATGATGCTGTGCGTTGTGGGGAGTGTGTAACGTCATTACGCTAAAAATAATAATTAAAAAGACTCCTAAGATAGTTGCTATATATATATATATATATATATATATATATATATATATATATATATATCCTAAGATGCCGTGTATAGAAGTAAGAGAGGAACAAAACATTCGAGAAAGACATCGAAATTACTAGAAGTTTCACAATTCAGACAAGAATACTTCAACGTAAATTGCCGTATATAAGATTGAGAGAGTAACAAATTATTCAAAATCACTAGAAAGGTTTTGAATTTTTGAATACTAGAATGTTCTTTGTTTATGCATATAAAAAGGTCGGTCATCGGTGGGTCAAGAGTTCAGTTGAATTTTGAAGCTAAGTGAAAACTGAGAAGTACGAAAAAGTGAAATGTGAAGAAAAGTGGAGTGAAGTTATAGTGAAAGTGCATCTAGTGGTGAAAATTACTGTTCAGCGACTGAGTTTAAGCAGGACTGTGTATATAATGAGTGTGTTAGAGAATCTCCATAAGTCACTCTTGTTAACTAAGAGCAATAAACATTAATAGCGCAAAAGACGTGCTTTAATTTCTGATCCCCGAACTCATAGAACATAACAATATTATGCACTATTAGCGGCTCACCCTCGCTTCGCTCAGATTCGCCTCAAGCACAAACAGATCTATTCTACGGAAATCGTACATTTTTCCAGGATAAAAAGTAGCCTGTTGTTTGACCGGCAGTATAAGGTATTAGCATACCAAAATATACTTAATTAGGTGCATAAGTTACTAAAGTTTAACTATCCCACAGGAACTCTTCAATTTTCCGGGTTGAAGAGTATCTAAAATATTGACCGGTGATATAACCGCCTTTTCCGTACTTAGACATTATTGCCCGTTGTGCGTGACCTTGTGCTGTGTATAGTATTAGTCCTTCCATCCCAGAGAGTCCTAGTAGTCCAACAGGCTGCCGGTGTCCTGGAAGATTTCCGGGAGAGATCCTCTGTGGCCAAGTTTTTCTACTCGTAGTTGTTCCAGTTCACAGCATTCTAGAAGAATGTGGGGTTTCATCCCCTCGGAGGCATGCTCTTCACAGGGGGCTGTCTGTGATACCTATATCGAAAAGATGCTTGTTGAAAGTTCCACCACCATTTTTAGTTTTTTTTCTGCTTAAGCGTGTTAGTTTAGTTGTTATTTGTTTGTTATGTTTGGGGAATGCTGCTTTGGATTGACGATAGTTAGTATTTGCATTCCAAAGTATGAAAGCAAGGTGAAAAATTCTCGGCCTGACAATGAAAAACTGCGATTTTCAGTTAATGAATGATTTTATTTTTCTACATACTTTTCTTTGATTTCAATACATATATCCAGAGTTTCTTCAACATCAGTATTCTTTCCCGGAAGTCAGAGTCTGGAAGGCTGTGAAAATACTCTCTCAACTTCTTGATTGGATGTGAAGCGCCTGCCAGAAACAAATTTCTTTATGTTTGGGAACAGTTGGAAGTTTGACAATGCCAAATCAGGATAATAGTGGGGATGGCTAAGCAAATCGTACTCCAAATCTCGCAGTTTTCCCTTCGCCAAGCAAGCCGGCGCGTTGTCCTGGTGAAAGGTGATTGTTTTCTTCTTCAAACCAGGCCTCCTCTAACAAATTTTGGCATCCAGATGGTCAAGAACGTTGGAGTAATATTAGCCTGTAATTGCTCTGCTCTTTTCAAGGTAATCAATTAACAGGATCACTTTCGCATCCCAAAACACATTGGCCATGACCTTTCCGGCAGATTCGATTGACTTCGCTTTCTTTGGTTTCCACCTGCTTTGACTGTTGTTTAGTTTCTGGCATATATTGGTGGAACCATGTGTCATCCATAGTGATCGGTATTTAGCAAATGCGGCACCCATCTTGCGCAGAGCTTTCGCATCCCTAATTCTTTGTGCAAGATGTTTCACACCCTTTATTCCGATATCCCCATGGCCTTAGCTATCTCGCTTACCTTCACTCACTTATCGTCTAACGCGATATCGTACACCTTTTCGATGGTTTCCAGTGTGGTTGCGGTTTTTAGCTGTCCTTGACGGGGGTCATCTTCGGAGAACGTGTGACCACGTTTAAATTCAGCAGCTCACTTTTTAACAAATGACAATTAAGGAGAAGAGTCCCCATAAATTTTTATTACCTTTGAATAATTTCCTTAGGGATTAACCCATCCAAAAGAAAGAATTGTATGACCGCAAGATATTCAAATTTATCTATCGTTAAGATAAATACGGAAGACGTCTACTGCAAAAGTTCATGTAAGCAAACTACTTGAGAGATCAAATTGAAACTTGTCCTATGAACTAATAACACATGCATCTAGACAGGAAACATAAATTTTTGATGATTAGAACGCCATCTCTGTGTCAGGCCGAGAACTTTTCACCTTGCCCTAGTATGTCTACTGTTTTGTTTGTTAGGTCGTGTAGACGCTATTTGTAAATATAAGTTACCACCATGCAAAATTTCATTTAAATCGGTCTAACAGTTTCGGAGATTAGCTCGTACAAACATACAAACAAAAAATTTGAAAAAAATCTGATTTTGTTCTATTTCTCTTCTTACATCCCCCTGACTCGGTATTTACTTTTTTTTTATATGAACAGACATTCGACCTGTACAGTTTTATTATATGTATAGTTTTACTTCTTAACTAATTTTTTACCGACTTAAAAAGTAAGGTTTCTTAATTTCGATGTATTTTTTGTGTGTATATGGAGTATTTTAAATAATTGTGAACTGATTTAAATGATTAATTATATGAATATTATTTGGAAACTTTAATTTGAAGAAAACAAACTAATGAGGATTTAATGAAATTGTAATATTCAACATATTAACTTATATTGTCAAAAAAAGCACAACTGATAAAATTATTTATTTTTAGCTCATCCAAAACAATGTTGGCAAATCGCATATCATATTATCTCAATACAATAGGCCCATCTTACGCTATTGATGCATCTACCGCTAGTTCATTACTATCCTTAGAACAAGCTTATCAACATCTACTTTCTGGTGAAATTGAATCTGCCATTGTTGCTGGATCTAATACTTGTAAACAGCCAACATTAAGTGTTAATTTGAGGAGGTATAAATATATTTTGTTAATTTTACTTATTGTTTCATAGTATTTTATGTTATTACGCACCCTTTTGTAGGGGGCACCGAAGCAATTACGAAATAATTGCGCTCGTTTGATCCCTTGCCGTATTGTTATTACTAAAACTTTAATACTTTCTTAGATTTACGCGAATATTTAACATCTTAAATAAAACTGACGGGAGAGACCATGGATGCTGTAAAGCATTCGAAACGTCTGGAAACAAAAATGCAAATAAATCCGCGACAAAATCCGAAAAGATAGTTTTATTTAAAATACTAAAACTTTAATTATGCAATTAATATGTAGGATATTTAAGGATTTATTCTATAAATCGTACACTTTAGAAACACGATTACTTGTAGTTTCTTCGATAGAAAAAAAAAGTCCATAATGATCTCTAAAAAATAAAATAATCCTTAGTGCGGCGTAAATACTTCAAGTAAGTTCATCAGGTTTTAATAATAACAAAACTATACGTTTTATATAACGTATACACTTTACATTTTCAAAATGTGTATTTGTTTTAATAATATGAATCCGTCTATCCTAGCCATCCCCCCTCCCTGCCCGCTGTCGTCCTACTAAAATAAAAAGCTCGGTGCCCTCTTAACCATCAATTACTCAAGCGCCTACCTATAGACTTATAATTTCTTAGCATGTTGTATGACATTCTAAGTGTTTTTATTTATATACGAGTATGTATGTACAAATTGGGCTAATATTGTGTAGTACAAAATGGTCGAGTTTAGGATACCAAAGTTGTGCAAAACATTAATTACAAATACTGCTTAACAATTTTAAATACACCAATGGCAGCATGTTGTTTTTTATCCTAAGGAAATAATAATTAGCATTATTTTATTTTCAGAGCAGGACTTGTATCTCTTGATGGTAAAACAAAATGTTTCGATGAAAACGGGGATGGCAGCGTCAGATCAGAAGCAGTCAGTGTTGTATTTTTACAAAAAGCTAAGGATGCAAAAAGGTACACTTATTATTGTTAGGTTGCGTACACCAACTTCACTCCCATTTGAACTGAAATTGGGCTTTATTATATTTACACCAGTTTTTAAGGCTATAAATTAATTGAATTGATTTCTTGCAAGTTACATGTGACCCACTTCCTAGGTTCCATTTGAGCTGAAATTTGGCACACCAATTTGATTCTTGAGACAATGCACGATTATTTAAATGATATCATTTTTAATTCAATATGGTGGCTGCCGCAAAATGGCGATTTATCATTCCCAAATTAAGTCCTATGTTATGAGTATCAAATAAAAGGGTTTGATAAGTGTAACGCAGTAAGTAAAGTGACTTCATTGTAAATTAAATATTGCGGACGTCATAAAATGGCGATTTATAATTTCCACACTAACCCTATTGACATGGGTATCAAATGGAAGGGTTTGACAAGCGAAAGCGACGTCATTCTAAATCCAATTAGCGAACTCCCAAAGATTGCGGACAGTGTTCTTTTATGCTCCCCCATGATATGCATGTCAAATGAAAGGGTTTGATCAGAAAAATACGAATAAACCTAAAAAACTATAATTAATTAATAGTAAAAAATATTTAAAAAAGAATTCAGAAAGAATTAGTAAAAAATATTTTTTTTAAAAAACTTTTTTTTTCTTATATTTACGCGAATATTTGACATTTTAAATAAAACTATCTTTTCGGATTTTTTTAGCGAATTCTGACTATTATTTCCCGTTCTTGAGGTCTCTCCGTGACCTTGATTGTTGAAAAGCACTCGAAACGTCGTCGGGCACCAAAAACCAAAATAAATTCGCGAAAAAAATACGAAAAGATAGTTTTATTTAAAAATATTATTTTTTTATTAGGATTATTTATGTTTAGACCATGTTACATATTGTATTGTTTTATATTTACACAGGTAAATCTCACGACAAGCTTTCTATTATATAAATTGTATAATCTAATTTTATGGTTTTGAATTAATTTAAAGTTTATATTCTTGCAGAGTATTAAAATAAAAGCTTGTTTTTAAAAATGCTGTTCTTACTATTAATTTTCTTTTAATTTTGATTCCTATATAACCATCACCTATTTACTCATTCTTTCTAAACTATAGTTTATATATTTTTCAGGATTTATTCTCAAGTATATCACGTGAAAAGCGGTTATTCTAAACCAGACATTAATTGTTTTCCTAATCGTGAAGAAAATGATATTTTAAAATTCTTGCAAGAGTTCTATTCTGAAATTGACGTGACACCCTCTGCCGTTGAATATGTAGAAGCAAACGCTCCTGGTACAGTATATTTAAATATTTATATCGAAGTTATTTTCTTTGAGAATAATTCAAATCGAATTATCATTCTATAATATTGGAAAGAGGAAAGATTTTTTGTTTGTTGGTAAGTGATGATTCTATTGAACCAATTTTAATACATCTTTCCGTTCTTTTCTTACTGTCCCTAGTCTCTAGTATATTTCAGTAATGTTCAAGTTCAGTAAAAAGTCACTTCAATAATCAGTTCAGTAAAATTCAGACACCTGTGGTGCACTCGAACGAAGTAGACGTGATTTAAGTTCTACTAAAATAATTTAAAATTACAATCCGTTGTGCCTGTCAAAAGTAAACTTATGAAATAAGACTTTACGGTTGATTTTAAATTACTTCAAAGTTGTGAAATATCACTTTTTACAATAAATCAGTACGAAGCGAATGCACGTCTTACCCCCTCGAGTAAAAGAATCGGACTCTGGTTTTTCATCTTGCTCGCACCTACGAGTACCTGTGCGTAAGCGCTCTTTTTAACGATCTAAAGATGAATGTTCAATGTTCTCCAAAGAGCAACAATGATAGCGGAAGTGATTATATCACTTAAAGAAAAAGAAAACAACGAGACGACGAAGACCATTTTAAGAAAGAATTCACAAAACTTCAAAACGAAATAAAATTACTATTTGAAAACTTTACGGAAAATCAGAATGAAAATAATAAAAAAAATTGAAAAAATAAAACAAGAAATTAAAGAGATAAATTCAATAACTAATAAATAACTTTCGAACAATAGAACCTAAAAACAAACTTACAAGAAATAAAACGACAAAATGTATCACTCCAAGACAAAGTTAACAATATAGAACAAGACTTTAATTTGTATAAGAAATACTCTCCACCATCCAGTAGCTCGCTATCGCTTACCTACCAGTGAACACGTTATCTTAGAAATACAAGACCGATGTAACCGGCAAAAAAATACCATTATTGTGGGTGTAATTGAAATAAATGATAAAAATGCAAGTTCTAGACCAAACTATGATAAACAGGAAGTTTTAAATTAAACTATCATCAGCAATCATGGTCACGGGGGAGACTAAGGTTATAGACGTCTGAAACACATATACATACTTGTTACAGATAGTGCGTACCCACTATTTTACAAAAATGATTTCAAAAATGTTTAAAACGGCATTAAAGTACCTTACGATATTTGTTGATTTTTGTTTCTAAACATTTTAAATAAATTAATAAGTATTAGAATTAAATATAGCAATATTATTTATTTAATTTTAGCTTTTATTATTATAAATATTACAATTTTCAAAAAACTTTATTAATTACTAATAATATTTAGTGTTGCTATTAATATAAATTATGTATAACCATAAAGAATATAAAAAATTAAAAATATTAATTATTTATCTAAGCAATATTAAAATCAAAACTCCAAAAAATACTTAGGATTAATTTTGGATAAAAACTTAACATGGCGACATAATATATGTAGATTCTCTCCACTCTAAAATAATATCTCTCACAGGAGCTCTTCGCAAATCAGCTCGCTGTATTCTTCCCAAAGTACGAACTATTATCTATAAAACATTAGTAAAACCAGTTTTTGAATAACTTGTAGAATACGGGGTTCTGCTGCTAAAACAAATATCAAAAATCTACAAATTTTTCAAAATAAATTACTAAAGACATTACACTGTATGGATTACTGTACACCAACGAAAAATATTTACGAAAAAAAGACTAAATTGCGAACCATTAAACAAATTTACAAATATGAGACGCATATTAATAAGAAAAATGATCACTAAAACCATTCACTCCTAAATAACTTTTCAAACCAAAGCGCATTCCTACAACACCAGAAACATGCACAAAATTGAACTGCCTAAGACTAGAACCAAATATGAAAAAAAAACTATAACATTTGAAGGAGCACAGCTTCACAATTCTTTGCCAAATAAAGTAAAGGAGTCAAAAACTTTATAGATGCTCGGGACAAGTTTAGAATTAGGGACCCGGCCCCTGGCGGATTGGGTGGTATTTCTGGATAGGGGACGTGATAGGCATATTAATAAATATTTCCATATCCAAATATATTAATAAATATTTTAAGAAAACAAAAGAGTCAAAAGTTATTGAGACTTAAAGTTACAACATTTCCATACATTTTCATACATTTCTTTACCACCATTCGGAGTGGGTGGTATTTTTAGATAGGGGAGGTGACAGAGAGTCAAAATATATTAAAAATATTTTGAGGAAACGTACGAGTAAAAAGTTATTGAGACTTAAAGTTATAACATATCTAACACATTTCCATACATTTCTTTACCTAAATAAGTGATTACAACAGATAAACATACCTTTAACGAATAGTACGCATCGTTTTTTATGTACAATACATATTTTCACAACAATTAATGCTTTATTGTATTTAATATTTTAATAATTTCACAACAACACAAACAAAATGATCTTACATTTTGACAAAAGCAAAACTGTCACTTTGTTTTACATTACTGCTTAAATGACAACAGATTATATTTGATTATTTTTGCCGTTTCTGTTGGTAATATTAATAAATAAATAAATAGAAAAATATAATAAATAAATTAATAGAAAAATATTATTTATTTATTATTCGTCATATCTTGGTTAGGTTAGGTTAAAACAGTTAAGGTTATTTATTTATTATTCGTCATATCTTGGTTAGGTTAGGTAAGAACAGTTACCCCCCCAACGTGCGTTCACCTTGTCGTGGTGGGGGGGCTCAGTAGTAGTAGCGAAGCTAAGAAACGCACAGGGAGGTTGCCCACTTCGGTGGACGGTGGGAGGTGGCCCTCTTCGGGGGGCGGTGTACCTTGCGGGTTGCTCCTGGTACTTCTCTGATAGCAGAGTGGACCTTGGAGCAACCCCATGGTTGTGGTGGTCTGCTTTGGCAGACCTGCCGTCGGGGCGTCGTAGTTGAATGCGTAAGCGATCCTGCGACGCCCCATTATGACGGAGGAAGGTTTTGTTGGGTTTTAGTGGATAGTACTGGCTATATTACGCCGGTGAGTCCCACACGTCGTGCTTAAATGCATTTCCCAACGTTAAAAAAAAAAAAAAGTAAGAACAGTTACCACAATAAATGCCATAAATGACTAGAAAACTAGAAAATTCGAATTTCACGCAAAGTACAAATAAAGACAATCATCTGGAGATGATTTTGACAATTGAAAGTGACGTTTTGACATTTCCAAGTGTCTAAATGGTAGTAATGTCAAAATAATGTATGGAAATGTTGTAACTTTAAGTTTCAATAACTTTTGACTCTTTTGTTTTCTCAAAATAGTTTTTATATATTTGGACTCCCTATTAGCTGCCCTATCCAAAAATACCACCCACTCCGCCAGGGGCCGAGTCCCCAAAACTAAACTGCAGCCAAATGCTCAAAAAAACTTAAAACATGTCTAAAATATATATAAATAAAAAAATATAATAAAATATGACAACTTATGTCATGCAAGAATCCAGATTTAGTATAGAGTCACCACAGTTTAAATTGCAGATTGTAACCTTGTACCACATAATTATTTCCTAATGTAAGTGAACATTGTTTTTTTTGGAAATAAAACAACTTTAACCCGAATGTTTTCTTCTTGAATTATTCCGATTGAGTTGAATTCAAGTAATATTTATTTAACTTTATTTATTTTATCCTTCTAAGGCATTGCATCTCGCGATAAAGTGGAACTTAAAGCAATTAGTAGATTTTTTGGAGATAAATCACCAGTTAAAGTTGGAAGTGTGAAGTCTAATATGGGGAACAGCGAGGGAGCCTCCGGCATGTGCTCATTGACTAAGGTTAGTTTAAATATATATAAAAAATAATTTATCAATATTTTTATCAAACGTCATACTACAACTGTAACAAAATGTTGTGTGTTTACATTTAAATTATATTTTATCATCATTACTTGTTCACTAAATTACTATAATATAAAATAAATAAAATAAATAAATAAAATAGCCTTTAATTACTAAAATAATTTGACATTATACACTCACACATGCAATTTTTTTCCAGACATAAATGACATATTATTTAGTAAATATAACACTCATAAAACAACAAAAATTAGTATCTTATCAATAAAGCTGATATAATAACAGTACACCTAATTTAGAATATATTTTATACAATATTATTAGTTCTTTTATTATTTTGCTATGTAGAGTGAATGCTATGATTATAAACACATATATTGTTATTAGCATATTAGCTTGTCAATAAAAACTGATTGTGAGTATAATAATTTTTATAATGCTAACTTATATTTATGCAAAAACAAAATTTACTATTTTAAATAATTTGTAATTTAGATAACCATACATGAAATCAGAAATTCCTTAACCTGAAAAATAGCTTCATTGAGTTTCATTCCATCATGCGTATAAAACAATAATAAATTTTAGTATTAGCTAACACATAGTAAATATATTATGTAGTATTAATTTTTGTTATTATTGCTTCTTTATTATTATTATTATTATTTTTATTATTTTTTGTTTTAGTAGTTTTTTTTGTCTGTTTAGTAAAATTTTGAGATTTATAAGATGTCTCTTATTTCAGTTTGCCTATGGGCAAAGGCCTCCTCTAGCTCCTTCCATTGTTTTCTGTCGTGTGCTACTCTTCTCCAGTGTGGTCCTGCGGTCTCTTTAATTTCATCCTCCCATCGTTTAAACTGTCTACCTCTATTACGTTTTGTGCCCCTAGGATACCAGTTTGTTACAACTTTACTCCATTTGTTATTTTTTTCCCTTTGTAAGTGCCCGGCCCACCTCCATTTTTGCATGTCTATTACATTCAGGATATCAGAAACCTCTGTTTTTTCTCTTATTAAAGTATTTTTTAATTTGTCTTTAATAGAGATTCCAAGCATGCTTCTTTCCATTGCTCTTTGGCACGTTTTTAATTTTTCTCTGTTGATATGATTTAAAGCCCAGGTTTCACATCCATATATTATACAGGGGAGAATACAGGTGTTAAATATTTTTCTTTTTAATGATATCCTTAGAATTTTACTTTTCATGAATTCCTTTAATGACCAATATTTTTTCCATCCTGTCGCAATTCTTCTGTTGATTTCCTTGGTTGTTAGGTCAATAGGTGATATGGTCTGACCTAGGTATATGTAATCCTCGACATATTCTAAATACGTATTGTCCACTTTTATTTGGGTTTTGTTTTTGTTAGTCATCAATTTAGTCTTTTCAATATTCATAGACAGGCCCGCTAAGCCGCTCTGTTTGGAAAGTTGTTGGATCATTGTTTGTAGCTTTACAGGATCTTCTTCGAATAGCACGATGTCATCTGCAAATCTAAGGTGGTTCAAGCGTACACCGTCGATATTTAGGCCAAAATCTGACCAGTTTAAGTTCTGAAATATATTTTAAAGGACAGCTGAGAATATTTTAGGTGAAAGTGGGTCACCCTGCCGGACGCCTCTACGTATTGGAAATTCAGTACCAAGAGTCTCTAACTGAATTTTGGCTTTGCTTTCTTTATAGATATTTTTTATGATATTTATGTAAAGACTGCTTATTCCTTGCTTTTCTAGTGCACACCAAATAGAGTTGTGCTTTATACTATCGAAAGCCTTGGTGTAATCAACGAACGCCAGGTAGAGCGGCTTATTGTATTCTCTATACTTTTCTATAATTTGTTTTACTGTATGAATATGATCGATAGTAGAGAAATTTCGTCTAAAGCCAGCCTGTTCTCTAGGTTGGTTTTCGTCGAGTTGTTTACTTATTCGATCTAGTAAAATCTTTGCAAATATTTTATATATATTTGACATGAGACTTATTGGCCTGTAGTTTGATAAAACGTTTTTATCTCCCTTCTTATGTATGAGGATAATATGAGAGATGTTCCATTGTTTCGGTACTTTGCCATAGTTGAGAATGTCGTTAAATATATTTGCTAGTATTGGACATAGGATTTCTATTGTTTCGTGTAGTATTTCGTTGTTAATTTGGTCTGGTCCTGGTGCTTTGTTTAATTTTTGTGATTTTATTGCTTTTCTTACTTCGCTTGCTAATATTTTTGGTTCCGGTTCAGTTATACTTTCAGTGTATCTCTCTGCGTCCAGATGTCGTGTGATGTTATCTGCTTTTATAGTAGGGTCGCTGTAGAGTTGGCTATAATATTCAGTTGCTGATGTTATGACGCCTAATCTTTTTGTGATTTGTTTTTGTTTCTGATAGATTTTGGGTATCCATTCTTTTATTGAATTTCTTAGGGATATTAGTGCTTTTTTTAATCCGCCTGTCTTAGCTAAATGATATTCTACAGTTTTGATTCTTCGATTTTTTCGGTCTTTACGGAGATTTTCTTGTATTTCCTTACTTAATTGTACAATTTTTTGCTGAATGCTTTTTTATCCGCGTTTATTAAATATTTTCTTTTTTCTATAAGGTTTTTGGTTGTTTCGCTAATTTTTGATTTTTCCTCGAAGGCTTTTAATAATTTATTTTCTTGACTTTGGGTTAAAATGTGTTCCAGTTGATTATATCTTTTTATAAAGTTAATATTGCTGTCAGTTAGGTTCGAATGTGACTTTGTGAGATTATTATTAATTTCTTTTATAAGTTTATCACCCATAGTTGTTGGGTTTCGCCGAGATATATTTTTTCTTGTTCTTTTTAAGGGCTTCCAACGTAGACAACTTCTTACCATACGATGATTGGTGTTAAAATTTAGGTTTTGAATAACTCCAGTATCCATAAATGCTTTCGGTTTGTTAGTTGTTATAAAGTCGATTTCATTCCTATATTTGCTGTCTGGAGAGATCCATGTCCATTTAGTTTTCGTTTTCTTTTTGAATAGTGTGTTGAGGACTGTTAGATTATTTTCCATTAAAAATTCAACGAATATTTGTCCGTTTTTACTTCTTTTCCCGTGACCGTACATTCCAATTATAGCATCTTCCCCGTCTATTTTCGAACCTATCTGGGCGTTGAAATCCCCCATTGTAATGACATTTTTATGTGCATATGACTTTATTGTCTCTGTCAGGCTAGAGTAAAATGACTCTATATCAACTGATAAAGCTTGTTCAGTAGGAGCGTACGCTTGGATAATAGTCCACTTGCTGTCATAGCCAGGCAAGCTTAGGTTAACTAGGATTATTCTGTCCGAAATGGCCATAAATTCCAGAATGTTATTTTTGAGGTATTTTTTAATCATGAAGCCTACTCCTCTTTGACCCGCTAATTCACCTTTAGAGTAAATGATATAGTCATTACGTTCTTCTATAGTTTCACCAAGTCTTCGCATTTCACTAATCCCAAGAATGTCCCATTTTATTGTTTGTAGAGCTATTTCAAGCTCGTTAAGGCTCTCTTCAGTTCGGAGAGTTCGGGTATTCAGCGTGGCAATGTATAACTTTTTGATGACATCATTTTCTTTTTTTGACCCTTTATCCTTGTAGATAGTGCCTTTATGATTTGTTGTAGCTAGAGGGTGTCGGTCTGGAGGTCCCGCGGTGACCGGCCGTATTGGGACGCTTAGAGGAGGCAGCCGTTCCTATTGTTCAGCTTCGTTTCTCTGCTTATCTCTGCGGATTTCGTCGGTTCTGTTTATAAATGCCTCCATTGTAGTCTTATTATTCTTAACTGCTTTAGACGAGTTTGATTGGTCTCTAGAATGTTGAGCCGACAGTGGTGATTCGGGTTTCCTTCTTTTGTTTCGAACTGGGGAGTTTGTATCATGCTCTTTCTCTTTCTCTTTCTTTCTACGTTCATAGTGTTGTATGGGCAATTGTACTTTTTTCCTGTTTAGACATACAATTTTATCATACTTTAGAATTATATTCTCTCCTTGTTCCCTTCTACTTTTGTATTCTTCTTGAAGTAGTTTCCTTTTTTCTAGTATGTTTGGAGAATAATCTTCTTTTATGTAAATTGGCAGGTTATTAAGCTTTTTCTTGTTCTTCAATAGTTCTATTTTTCGCCCTAGAGTAGTAAAAGTTACTAAAATAGGTCTTACAATCTTATTTCTTTTCCCCAATCTTTTGACTAACTCTATATCAGAACTTTTAAATTGTAGTTCCATTGATTCACTAATTATGTTTAAAATAGTAGTTTCTAGTTCCTTATAGTTCTTCTCTACTATAATATAGTATCTACCTAATAAAAAACACAAAAAAACTAGCAATTCACCCTCGCTTCGCTCGCTTCTGTCCCTAGGTTGCTTCCCCATACAAACTTTCACCCCCTTTTTCACCCTCCCACCCATAATAATTACGAATAATTATGGTATAATTTCTGGGATAAAAACTATCCTATGTTCTTCCTAGGGTGTCAGATTACCTTATTATCAAATTTCATCTAAGTCAGTTCAGTAGTTTCGGAGCCTATTCGATACAAACAAAAAAAATACATTTTTCCTCTTTATAATAATGGAATAGATTATGTTTTTAAAGTGTTCAAATATTCAATAATTTATTTTAATTAAGGCCGTATTCATGAATTAAAATGTATGACGTTTTAAGACTAAGAACAATATTAAATAAAATTTACGTAGCGTGTAAATATTAAAAACTTCACAAAAAAATAACTTTCAATATATCTTAAGAATATTTACCACCGGGTCATGAAACTTCCTATATGTTTTCTGATAACTACATACATAATATAATAGGTATTTACATATTATGAAGTTGCCGGTTTACAAGACTAGCCATTTGAAACGAAATTTATGAATGGCCGCCAACAAATTCTAAATTCAAATGAATTGTATTTTAAAAATATGCAATATACGATTTGTATCATATTTTTATTCAGATAAGGTTTTGATTTTTTAGTTTATAGATATATAATATTATGTAGATGTCTTTTCCGACGATTTAATTATGATTAAATATATCTACATATTTTCATTTTTATCATTTCACATACTGTACAATAGTGTAATTTTTATTAATTGTATGTTCGTCTTCATATGTATTTTTTCTTAATAACAATGGATTACTGAAAAAACATTGTACAGACACCAAAATGTCAAACTAGTCAATTTATTTGAATTATGCATTTTTTTTTGTATTTTCACAGTCTGATTTTCATTAACAATATAATAATTTTTTGTATCTTAATGTATGTTTTGATGAACGTTTAGGATCAGTCTTTCACTATAATTTGGAAAATCCTACTATTATTCAAGTAATATATTTTCAGGTATGTCTAGCATATCATACTGGAACTATTGCTGCTAACATTAACTGTTCAAATGTTATGGAAACTGAGAAAGCAGTTATATTAAAAGAAAACGTACCATTTAATAGAGGATTCGTTGCCATAAATGAATTCTCATATACCGGAATAGATTCTCACGCTCTCCTTAAAGGATATTATAAACCAAAGGTAGTGTCATGATTTCATATAATATAACAAAAATATTGTGCTTGAATATTTTAAATGTAATCGTACATTTTATTTGCAGTCACTAAAACTTCTTAAAATATTAGCTATTTTTAAAAAGCACTATTGATATCAATAAGTATGGTTAGAAATATATACGGGCGTTACAAGTTTATTTTAATCAGATGAACGATATAGAGAAACAAGTTTTACATAAAAACAAAGAATATAAATATGTACATTATTTTGTATTTGTAGCATTTGCTTTTTCGCTATACGTTAACAATTGTGTACCACAAAAGGTTGCATAATTTTTTTTCTATCTATACATATAACAAAATTGTAACTAAACCGAATCTATACGTTAGATATTTCCTTACGTTATAAAATCTTATTGAAATAAACATTATTATCAATACAGAGGCCGAATCTATAGTATTTAGAATTTTGTGTGTGTGTCTGTTACCGCATCACAGAAAAACTACTGGAGGAATTTTAATGAAATTTGGTATATGTAAAACCTAAGAATTTGGTTTTTGGGCATCTGAAAGCGGGCGGAGCCGCGTTCCATGCTAGTATAATATGCTATATAATATTTTTTTTTATAATTTAATATTATTGGAATTTTCTCCTGTTTATCTATAATTATATAATTTAACATGCTTAAATTAGTATACTTTAAACTTATAGTATACTTTTATACTTTCAATTACCAAGTGTATCGTTTTAATATATTAAAGTTATTTTGTTATAGGATCACGATCGTTACAAATGCAATATACCTTATTTAGTATTAATTTCTGGAAGGGATGAGGACTGTGTAAATCATCTTTTTGATATTTTACAAAGCTATCCGGTGGACCCTGAATATGTAGGGATGTTACACCAAATTCATAATTGCGAAATTAAAGGGCACACGTCGCGAGGATTTATTATACTAGGTATGCTATCTATCCTATATCTTTAAACGAGCAATTCTTGTATATGTATATATATATATATATATATATATATATATATATATATATATATATATATATATATAAGTATATATATATGTATATATATATTGTGAATCTCGGAAACGGCTCCAACGATTTTCCTGAAATTTAGTATACACGGGGTTTCGGGGCAATAAATCTAGATTAGTCTTATGTCTGAGAAAATGCATGTTTTCGAGTTTTTATGCAGTTTTCTTTTGCATTATTCCACGCAAAATATGGTCGGTAATTTGCATGCTCTGGTGTAAGCATCGTGGTCAAGTGACCAAGATGCAAGATCAATAATAACAGGTGTCCCGGTTCGAATCTCGGTCGCATACAAAGTTATTACTTTTATTATTTTTTTAAAAGAAAATTGTACCTCAGACCAAAAAACCCGAGCGAAGCTCGGTAGCTCAGGTACTACATTATAAACAAACGAGCTTATTTATTTTGATATTTTTTTTGACATGTTGCACCTCTTGGATTTTAATGAAACAAGTTAGACAATATACTCCTATAGACAATTAATGTGTATTTTTTCAAAGTGGTAATTTAATTATATTAGATAGAAATCGATTGACAAAATTTTTATTTGAAATTAACTAAGATATAATAATCGCTTTGAAAAAAAGTCGCCCCCGGACACTTTTTTTCAAATAGCTCCACAATTTACTAAGATATAGAGTTAATATCTACTGGATCAATTACTATTAGTGTCCTCTACATTCTACAATATAACATTTGTTACGATATAGGTTCCTATCGGGGGCACTTTCGCCATAGATGTACGGCTAGACCCTTTCATCTAAATCGGTTTAGTAGATCCGGAGATTACTCCCTACAACGTCACAAACTCAAACGTTACCTCTTTATAATATTAGTATAGAATAGATTGACGTATTGTATATGAAAAAAAAACCCATCTTATAGACATGTCACTCAATAGATTACGACACGGTCGCGGTTCCATACCTACGAGTATGTCGTATTATCTCTTTAACCATGTGTCCAAATTATATGCAGTAAAAGGGAAAAGTCTTTTGGTTTATAATTTTAGACAATAAATTTACTTATTTTGATAAGAATTCATAATTGTTAATAATATGACCAATATACATGACCTACCAATTTAAATTATTTTTTAATATAAAGAACTACTTTTTGTGACTTTAATATAAAAGTTACACATATGCTGTCGCTGACTTTTTTATAGGCATTATTAAGCTCTACAATTTTTTTCTCTAGAATAAAGTAATATATCTGTCATCGTTAAGGTAGCGTTCGTAAGAAACCTTTTCTATCGACCGTTTTTCTCTAACTTACTTTGCAAATCCGACTTACATGAAAAAGTCTTTTCATTCTTCGGGTTAATATAGCCTATGACACTCCCCCCCCCCCAACGTTGTCGTGGGGGGGGGGGGCTCAGTTGTGCCCGGCAATCTAACCGGGCGTGAAGCCAAGAAACGCACAGGGAGGTGGCCCGCATCGGTGGGCGGTGGGAGGCGGCCCTCTTCGGAGGGCGGTGTTCCATGCGGGTTGCTCCTGGTACTTCTCTGATAGCAGAGTGGACCTTGGAGCAACCCCGTGGTTGTTGTGGTCTGCTTCGGCAGACCTGCCATCGGGGCGTCGTAGTTGAATGCGTAAGAGATCCTGCGATGCCCCATTCAGACGAGGGAAGGCTTTGGTGGGTTTTAGTGGGTAGTACTGGCATTGCCGGTGAGTCCCACACCTCTTGCGTAATTGCATTTGCCAACGTTAAAAAAAAGCCTATGACACTCACAAATAACGTAGCTTTATATTGGCAAAAGAATTTTGAAAATCGGTTCAGTAGATCCAGAGATTACCCCCTACAACATCACAAACTCACAATCTCACAAACTTTACCTCTTTAAAATATTAGTATAGATAAGCGGAGATAAAACAGCTCAGTACCTACCTTTTTCTCCTCTCTTTGTCGACCGATTTTGTCTTTTTTCTGTAATAAAAAAATATATTATATTCGTATTTCGACCACTGTATGAACACTGGAATAATAAAAATGTAAATAGTCAATCCAGAAAAATAAAAGTTATGAAAAAAAGATTCATATGTGAATTATATTATATTTTTATATTTCAGATGGTAATGCAAACCGACAATCAGAAGCACTGTCAAGAAGCGTAAATTACCATGCAGGAAACAAACGACAAATTTGGTTTATGTTTAGTGGCATGGGATCACAGTGGGTTGGTATGGGAGAAGCCCTGATGCGGATACCAATATTTAATGAAGCAATTCAAATGTATGCACTGATTGAAATATGCTAACTATCTAGCTTAAGTTAACTATCTAGCTTAAGTTTTCGGATTTTTTCATGGATTTATTTTGATTTTTGTTTCCTACCATTTCGAATGATTTACAGTAATAAATGATCACAGAAAAGACTAGGTTTTAGACGTCCCAAAGGGTGTAAATAATTGTTAAAGACAGCACTTACCCACAAAATTAGACAATTATGTCCAAAATTGCACCAAAGGACCTTATAATATGTTTTAATTTTAAGTATCTTTTATAATTGAAATGATTTTTATAGTTGATTATTAAATATTGTTTATTTAACAATATAAAAGTTATACTATAGGGTAAAACCCGGGGAGTTGCCTCAGTGGGATACATGCCCCGGTTTTCAATACGCTATATTAGAGATTGCCCTGATGTTAGCGCTCTCCTGTAATTTGAAGCACTTCTTCCACAGACCTTAGGATCATGCCAGTAGTAGGACTAGGTAAACGTGTTTAGTCCGTGTGAGCGAAAATCTTCCGCGGCAGGACGTTGACAAGTGTTGAAATTATATTCGTGTGTATTTTCTATTGAATATTTTTTTATAGTTGTCGATTCAGTCAACTTTTTGCTTCTACGAGTGTACTGAAGTTTAAATTACACTACCTATTACTTTATACTGTTAAATAGCTTTTATTTATTTTAAATCTTAAGCTGTCGAATATTTATTTTTCAAAATATAAGGGCAAGTATTCGTACTAAAAAGGATAGTCGCCTCATAAAATTTTGCGGATAGTCGCTCTAAGGACAATAATTTAGTGTTGTAGGTAGGCGAAATGCCTCGCAAATATGAGCAAGAGCTTAGCAAGTCTAAAAGTGCTAAACAATCTGCAAAAGAATATTACAAAAAGAACTAGAATGGAAACAACGAAATTAAAAGATTTCAAAACAGTAAAAAATAAATCAGCTCATAACGATAATATGATAATTATAAAGAAAAGAGAACGAAAGTAACAGATCAAAAATATGTCGATTTCTCTTGCAGTGAAACAGAATTTGAAAACATAGATATAATTAAACTGAACGGAGAAAGAGCTTTATGGATGACAAATAACAAACTTATAATTCCGAGAGTGAAAAGAAAAAAAGCATTAAAAATACAAAAATAGCAAAAAAAAGAGCTACTAAAAGAGTTCAAAAAAGGAGTAAGAAATTAAACATGATAAGAGAGACTGAAAAGACACTAAAACTTATTATTTACATTAATACAATAATAGAAAATACGAATGATAAAGTTTCAGTTTATGGTTATTGTAAATGTTTTGAAACTAACAATAATACTAAATCCAAATCATACTGGATTGTATTTCCAGGAAGCTTGTTCATCATTCAAAGAATATTGTGTGAGGTGTGGAAAATTACAAGTTATAGCTTCGTAATTGATGATGGTTTTTAAACTTTTTTGGTGATATCCGCCTACCAACTAATTTTAATATTTGGGTCAAAGTTGATTACCATATTGTTTTTATCTTTAAAATTAATTATAATTAATAACTTAAATTTTGGAAATTTTATTTGTATTTTAAAAGTTGTATTGATTTCGATTAGCACCTACTTAATAAATTGATGTTAATAATTAATAATGGTTGATTAAATTTACATAAATTTGTTTTAAGCCAAAAAAAATGCAACAATTTCATAATGAGTCTTCTATCCCCGCATGAAGCAAGTATCCCCCAAAGCATTTTTAACATAAGGCAACTATCCGTCACAGAGGGCAACTATCCCCTTTTGTAGAGGTCAAATAAAACAAAATTTACTGAAAAACAATATTGACAGTGTTTAAAAAAATAGGTCACAATGAAAGACTAAAGACCAATGTTTTATTATACACGGGACATATTGTAAGTAGATTCTTAATTTTTATGTAATTGGAAATTTCCAAAAAGTAGGGAAAATATCCGACTTCTACCCTATATTATAAAAGTTGATAAGAAAAAATACATGTTTCAGATGCGACAAAGTTCTTAAACCTAAAGGATTAGATATTATAAAAATAATATGTGATAAAGATGATACTATTTTTGATAATATTCTACACTGTTTTGTGGGTATCGCTGCAGTACAAATCGGTCTCGTGGATATATTGAAAGCCATTGGAATAGAATGCGATTTTATGATTGGTAAGCATTTACAGTACATGTAATAAAGAAATACGCAAAGCCAATCTTTGTTAAATTATAATATAATCTTAAATGGCAAACAAACTAGTTTACACATTAGCTTACAAACCTAACCAATCACGCCAGAATAGCTGAACGGATGTAGATGAAATTTAGCACACAGATAGATTATAGTCTGGAATAACACATAGGTTACTTTTTATACCGAAAAAACCACAGTTCTCGTAGGATAGATTTGCTTTTTTTTCAAATGTCAGTATATTTTAGTAATAAGCTTTTTATTTCTAAGGTCACAGTGTCGGTGAAATAGTATGTGGGTATGCCGACGGATGCTTTACTAGAGAAGAGATGATCCTTTCTGCGTATAGCCGAGGGAAAACGTCTTTAGAAACTAATTTTATCCCGGGTGCTATGGCGGCCGTAGGAATGGGACATAAAGATGTACGTTATCCTAATTTGAAATTCAAAAATTATATGAATGACGGCTTATTTACTTTTTATATAAAAAATTCAAAATTATACTTAAAAAAACTATGATATTATGTGTCTGTTTATTTTCCAACTCTTTTTAAATAAATAATTAATTTAAATAAAGAAAATTTTAAATAAGATTTTTAGACACATACCTCAGAAATTTATTCACATGAATATTATACTCTCATATATGTATGTATGTTTTTATTTTTTTTTATTATATCATATGAGGCCCTACCGTGCCACCGTTCACATCGGCTCTGTGTTTAAATTTTACAAATACATACTGTTAGAGATAAAGTTAGACTCAAATAGTGTTACATCGAAACGCAGTGCTAACAATCAAAGTCTTCTCTTCTGATGAATCGAGACAAAGTGTTCTCTTCTGGTCAAAGCGAAATATCAGTGCTAAAATAATCAAAATACTAAGCGACAAGCAACAGACAATTTAACAAACTTTACAGAGTGTAGACTAGCCAGAACTTACTAAACAGTGCAGTGATCGTCAATAATTACAATTTCAATAGAACAATTATTGTGCGTACATGATATCATTTCCCATATGTTTCCCAAGTGTATAACCTCAAATTAAGAAACTTACTAGAAATTTCTCACAAAAACCTATCAACGCCATCTAGCGGCAAGTAGCGAACTTACAAGATATCTACGCAACGCGATAAAGCCAACCTAATATCGAACGGGGGCGGTAACTGTATCAAGATTATCATAAAGTCATCATCAACTTATATAAAATAATGGAGGAAATAAAAGATATACTCAGAAATATGCAGGAAGAAATGAGGCAAGAAATTCTAGAAATAAAAGAAGACAAAAAATACCGTAAACGGCAATATTAATGGGAAGTTTCTTATTCTAGAATCAAAAAACAAGTTTCTCGACCAAAAATTGGAATCTAATAAAATAAATTAGACAGCATGGAGAGATTTAATAGAAGAAAAACATACTTTCTTCGGGGTCAAAGAACGCGAGAGGTCTTATGAAGACCTAGAGAACAAGGTGCTACAAATTATAAAAAACATACTGGAAATTGAGTGCAATGACAACAGCATCAAATTAGTAAGACAGCTTGGAAAAAAAGTGGAAAAACTAAACTTATAGTAGTGACTATGATCACCATGAAGTTAAAAAAAACTAAAAAACAAAAAGAGTCTGGAAGCATCGTCTTATTATATAAAAGAAGACTTTCCCCCAGAAGTCTTCAAAGGGAAAACTAGGAAAAGAAACCTATCTAAATCCCCTGAAGAACCACCTAAAAGATTCAGCCACAAAGGAAACAGAAAAACAGCCCTTAGAAATAAAAAAAAATCAACAACATAAATAACTATCTCACAAGAAAGCCAGGGCTGTCGCAACGCAGAACTTCTTCCCCGCAGGCAACAACTCAAAGCTAGTAAAGTAGTCAAACAACACAATAGCAATAACCGGGCGCCCTTCTCAATCTCCCAAGACGGCTGGTCACCGCGAGAGAACTTGACCAATAAAAACAAATAAACTCTATCGACTAACACGCGCCTCCTAGAGTTGCTAGATGCACTTGAAAACACAAGGTTTGATATAATCGGCCTTTCGGAAATAAGACAGCTCGGCAATACAATACAAGAGCACCAAAACTTATATTTTGTTATATAGGAAAGACACCAGGACTATACGGAGTAGGATTTTTTGTGAACAAATATATAAAAAAATGTATCGAAAGTTTTATTGGCCTATCAGAGCGAATGGCGCTTTTACAAATCAATGTAAACAAATTTAAAATAATTTTCAAACAAGTATACGCACCCACTGAAGCAGCCCTATACGAAGAATTAGAAGCTTTTTACAACACCATAGATAAGACTTTAAAATTATCTAAAGAAAACGGCGTAACTATGGGCGACTTTAACGCAAAAATAGGAAAAATAATAAAATATATAACGGACTCTTGATGACTGTCTAATTCTTAAGAATTTTGGATACGGCGAACAAAACTGCAGAGGAGAGAGATAAATACATGAGAACCACCTCTCTTTATGAACACTTTCTTCGAAAAGAAAAGTAAACAAGGATGGACATGGAGATCTCTAGACGGTGCCACAAAAAATGAACTCGACTATATCCTGACAAACGTACATAAAAACATTCAAGACGTACAAGTACTAAACATACCATTCCCATCAGATCACAGATGCGTAAGAGCAACTTTTAATTTACAAACAATTATTAAAAGTAGAAACAACTACACCAATAACTCGAAAAGTTCTCTGAAAAATATTAAAGAAATCTCAAGATATCTAGAAGCACTAAACAAACATCAAGAAGAAGTTATCCATCATTTAGAAGACGACACAGTCCAAACGTTCTACGAAAAAATATTCTCAGCGGTCGATAAAAGTTTGAAAACAGCCCTAACACCAAATACACACACAGAGAAGAAACGTATTGGCATATCAGAACGAACGAGAATATCAATAGATCGTAGAAGAGACAAAAAACGAAAACTAAGACAAGAACCCTATATAAACTTAAAAGTAAATATTTGACATTTTAAATAAAACTATCTTTTCGGATTATTTCGTGGATTTACTTTGATTTTTGGTTCCCAAGTTTTGATTTTAGGGAACAAATATTCGCGTAAATCTAAGAAAGTATTAAGTAAATATATGCGTCAAGATAACAAGGATCATTGTATATAGAAAAACAACTACATTCGTAAGGCAGCTTAAAAGAAGATTTCAAAGAACTAAAAACTCACAAAACATGGATAGAGGGCCTTTGAGGATCGAGCAAAGTATCACACAATAGAAAAGACATACTCCGTATAGCCACAACGCTTAACAAAACACTATACAATGCAATGCACCGGAACACTATGAAAGCTCACAGAGTCTATCTACTAGAAGAAGATGATCGTAACCTTACAAAAATAACCCAGTGCAAAAAATCGAAGTTATTAAAGAAATTCATCGACTCAAAGCATTATATTAAAATAATATAAAATCTAAAAGAAAATCTATATATTAACAGTTAAAGCAATTAAAATAAATTATTTAAATTAACAAATCAATTAAAATCAATAAATTACTGAAATCAATAAATTGATTAAAGGAAATTTATAAAGTAAAAAAAAAGTAAATTCATGATTAACAAAATAATAAAAAAAGTTATTAAAAATAAAAATTATGAAACTGTAATAAATAATTAATCAATTATTTAATACAACTAATTCAATCATTTCTAATCATAAAATTGCTATATACTATCAATTACTATATTTAATTTATTTCTAACAACTGGATGTAACGATTATTTTATAAAAAACGTTACTCCATCATATTGTATTCTGTAGTCAATTTAAGTGAATTATAAGGCTTTTTTATTTTATTTATGTATGTTTTTCCAGAATATATAATATTACCTATGTCTTTTTAGTTATACCCAATATGCCCTGCAGAGATTGACATCGCTTGTCATAACAGCTCTGAATCGTCAACTATATCAGGACCAGCTGACGACGTCGCCCAGTTTCTAAAAGAAATGACAGCGAAGGGAATATTTTGTAAAGAGGTGTCGTGCAGTAATATTGCCTTCCATTCTCGGTACATTAGTGTAGCTGGTAAGATATATTAAGAGAAATTAAATATTTTGCTAATACATAAATATACTTATTTAGAATTAACACGACGAACAAATACCATTTTTATGATGTACTTAAAATCAACCATACCATTCAAAATTATAATAACGTCAGAATTGCCTGATTTTAGATATAAACTTTCAGTAACAACAGTTTAAACATCTATCTCGTACGGTACGGCCCCACTCATCGCGAATGTATTCGGGCGATAAAATTTCGCCTTCGGCCTACGGCGAGTGTGCGTGGCCACCTCGCATCGTTGTAAAGCTTATCGCAATAAGCAAACGCAAAAAACAAAATGGACGACGCGGTCGCTCGCAAGCATCATATATGAGATCCCTTCTTTTGTGGCCGACTTCTTTCGGGTTCCATAATATCGTCTCAGATTCGTAATTACTAATAAATTCTAAAAACTTCTCCATGTCTAATATACGTCGCAAACTTTAATTTACTCCAACACGTCCGCTACGTACGATGTCTGTGGGCCGAATGAAGTGTGGACTGTGGACTGTGGCCGCGCAAGTGAAGTTCTTCGTGATAGAACCCTTTAATGTGCGAGAATTTGCCAACAGCGGAGCGATATGCTGTCAACTTCGCCCGAAATGCCTACATATCGACGCCCCCAAGCAATAAGGCGGTAATCATAAGATCCACAGGAGAAAGTATTTACTGTTTTTGTTATATAACTTTTCAAACAGTGGGAATATTTAGGACATTGATGGATCAAATGAAAGCTAACTTTTTGTCAAATATACCTTTGATGTCAATATGGAATTATCTTTGGCCAAAACCTAGCAAAATATAAAAATATATATTACCGAAAATATGATAGGTAAAATATTACACTAATATCACTTACGAGTTTATTGAAGTATATTTTTCGAAAACTATCATAAGTAACATCATATTATGGACTTTTACAACGTTATTTTCAATCACAAAGATTATGCATAATGTGTTATTATGTTTTTATTGGCATAAAATTAAACATATACGATAACATTATTGTTATTTATCATTTTTAATGCAGGGAAATTAATAGCATCACGGTAATGTAACCATTAATTACGAATTACTTTTTTACTAAGTGAAGACAGTTAATATTTTATGGTTTATAATAAAAAAACATAGAATATGATCATTATAATAACTTTTAATAATAAAAAAATATTTTAAATAAAACTATCTTTTCGGATTTTTTCGCGAATTTATTTTGATTTTTGGTTCCCGACGTTTCGAATGCTTTACAGCAATCATGGTCACGGGAGAGACTGAGGTGTTAGATGTCTCTAAGGTATTATATAGTTGTTACAGACAGCCTACCCACAAAATGAATTCAAAAATTGAAAAATGGCACTAAAGAACCGTACAATATTTTAACTTTTAACTTTAAACATTTTTATATAATTTTAATGTTTAAACTATTCTTTTTATATTATTATAACATGGAGGTAAAAATTCTAATTCGTGTATAAGTAAATGACCAAAATGTTTTTTTTTTATCGTCAAGAGTTTCTAATGTACAATGTTAACATTCTTGATTTATCCTGGTTTACTTTGATGATACCCACTCTCTAGTGACAATTTACAACGAAAGCTACAAAGTATACTTGTAAATGTGCAATTCTACACCCAACTGAGCCTCTCTTCTGCTTTGGGCGGCACATGAAATAATTATATTAATTATAAATTATTGCTAGTTATAGAAAGAGAGCAATGCGCTTTGCAAGTAATCGCGCAGCAAATCAAAACCAATAATATCGATAACAGAACTAGACTCACAGTGTCCTCGTCGTTATGTATTGAAATTTAACGTATAATATTTAGCGGATTATTTACTATAAAAACATTGTTACTGACTAATACGGAATGCGTGTATTTAAAATAATTCGACAAAAAACCGTGTTAGCTTGTACCAAAAACTTCACGTGGTAATAAGCCGCCAATAACCCGGTAATCGCAACTTACCGAAATAAAGTATAAAATAAATTTCTGTAATGATGCGTAACAACACTTTTACCATCATAATATTGTTTGTATATTTCCCTATAATAAAACTGTGTATTACTATAATATCTTCGTTAATATCGATAAGAAAGATCTGAAAAAAAAAACTAAGATGTATTCCACTCCATAGATGCCAAATTTGCCATCACAGTGAAGTCCATAATAGCATATTTCCGACTTATTGCTTAGGGGCGTCGATATATCGCGATAAAACGAATATTCGCGTTATCGCGATGTATCTGACCGAGATATTACTGTAATTGTACCTCGCTTATTTTTTAAATAATCTCATAACAATCTCAGAGCAATTGAATAAATATTATACAAAACTATTTTTACCTTACAAGACTTCAATGAAAGAACTATTCTTGGTACCTGCCCTCCATGATGGATTCATAATTAAAAATCATTAAATATTACAAGATTTTTTTTTTAAATATAATAATATATTTTAATTTTGTTTAGCTCCAACTCTAAGAAACTATTTGAATGAGGACATCAAAGAACCAAAATTGCGAAGCAGTAAATGGCTATCTACATCAGTGCCAGAAAATAGATGGGAAGAGCCCATTGCAAAATTTTCATCTCCTGAATACTTCACCAACAATTTACTGGTAGATTTATTCTTACGTTTAAACTATTATATGTACATGGTGATTGAAGTCTGTTTATTGAATTTTGGGCATTTAACACTTCAAAGAGTCTTGAAGTCATTTATGTATCAGTTTGAAGAAACTGAAGAAATCTAAACAATGGGATAATAAGTAATTTTTCAAAATTTCCCTTATTATTTTTCTAAAATAAAAGTGACCTAAGTTACTCCTTATAAAATCAGCTATATGCCAGTGTTATTCCTGTAAAATCAAACCAGCCTTTTTGAAGATTAGCCGAAACAAACAGACAGAAAACAAAAAATTATAATTGTGTTTTTCTTATAAGTACCGTATATAATTTCACATGGTTTGAGTAAAAAGCTGTTATTTTAAAATTACAAATAGACAGTTAACTTTTATTTATCAGTATTCAGTATGTATAGATAAATCACTATAATAGGATCATTTTTCACTTCATCTGTATAGAACATAAAATTAATATTAAATAAAATATTACTAACATATTTAGTAAAGTTTCATCAAAATAATATGAATAAGAACATGTTTTACTCTATTATATTTTGTAGAATTATGTATACTTTGAAGAAGTATTACAACATATTCCGTCTGACGCGGTAGTTATTGAAATTGCGCCGCACGGCTTACTTCAAGCAATTTTAAGACGTGAGCTTAAAGACTGTTTACATATTCCTTTGACGAGACGAGGACATGAAGATCAAGTGAAATTTTTACTAGAAGCAATTGGAAAGTAAGATATTGTATCAAATACTGTATGCAGTCCTGAAACTATCAATATTTGATAACCATATTCTTTCAGAATTTACGAAGCCGGATATAATGTGAAGATTGATGCTTTGTATCCAAAAATTGAATATCCTGTTTCTACCGGAACTCAATTTCTATCGCATTTAGTTAAATGGGAGCACAGTGAGGACTGGTATGACATTAAAGTTATTTATTTAAGTAAAATAAATGATGTATTTTAATACAACGCTTAAGCTAGTAACTATGTTAATGAGAAAAAATATAACGTAATTATGAAAACATTATGTTGAATTGTACATATTATAAGCAGGGGTTTTGTTTTATTTTAGAAGTTATCACTTTTATTTTTTTAGGTATGTATTCGAACGTTCCGAACAAATTGTTGTTTCAACTAGGAATCGTGATATCGTTATTTCTCTTATTGATGAAGACTATGCATGTATCAAGGATCATGTGAGAGATGGTGAGTACTAAAATATCTATCTATATTCATATAATAAAATTGTAACTAAGCAAAATATGAACATTAAATATTTTTTGGAAATTTTTATTAAAATCGAGACAGACATTAAAATCGATACAGAGGCCAAATCTATAGTATTTAGAATTTTTGTCTCTCTGTGTGTCTGTGACCGTATCACGGAAAAACCACTGAAGGGATTTTGATGAAATTTGATATGATGATAGCTTGTTATTCGGATCAACATATAGGATACTTTTTACTGCGGGAAAATATTATCTGAGAAATCTATATTAACGTTAAAACGTAAGTGGGGATGAAGCCGAGTGGAGCAAGGGTGAGTCGCTAATCTCTCTCTCTCTCTCTAAGTGACATGAAACTGTTACCGTAGTTGCTATAAATCATTCGAAACGTCGGAAAAAAACACAACAAAATCATGAAGAATTTGCCTGCCTGTGTATTTTTTTTTAATACACATAAATCAAGTTTATCTTTCAAATCAAGCTTAGATTACTATTATTATTATTATTATAAGCCTGTGTTCTCCAACTACAGGGCAAAGGCCTCCTTACTCTTATTATCTCCCTATCTTTCGCCACAATAGACCAGTCTCTCTGGAAGGAGCACGACTCATTCCGCCATCTCCGTCTAGATGTACCACGCTGTCGTCTGATTATAACATAATTATTAAAATTAAAGTAAATAATAGTAAATAACATTAAAATACAACATTCGTCACCAAAATCAGATTATTTTATTATCATCTTTAAGTGCCGGTTTAAATTAAAGTTACAACTAATTTACAACATTAATAATCAAAAGATACACTATTTTTCTTATACGTGCTTCTGATAAATGTTTTTGTTCAATAAATAAATAAAAATATTCAATAAGCCGAAAAAAAATTTAACATAATTGTCTAATTTTAACAAAATTATTGTTGTATTTTTCTAATTTTAACCGACTTCCAAAAACGAGGAGGTTCTCAATTCGTCGGAATCTTTTTTTATGTATGTTCACCGATTACTCAAAGACGCCTGAACCGATAAGGAAATATTTTTTTGTTTCAAAGGGTATACTTCCTAGGTGGTCCCATATAAATTTTATCGAAATCGGTCAGACGTTTTTTTTTAAATCAACAAATAAATTATTTTTTCAATAAATTTCTTTATTAAACATGTAATTAAAAAACTTTCTTCTAACAAATTACCTGCTTATTGCGCTTACACTAAAAATGGACAAATAAAACAATATTTAAAAATATGAATATCTAATAGGTAAATATGTGTTTAACGTACCGAAATATATAAGATTTGTTTTGCATCGGCTAGCACCGACTTCGAAAATATCTGATTTGGTATCTATTCTAAATGAAAACCCCCGTTTAGTTATTGTTTACTTTTTAGTGCCTGGAAGACGGTTTTTATTTATTTTTTTCAGTTTTTTTATGCAGCCAAAGATCGACGTGATTTATAAATTGCTTGTGGGTCGCATTACTATCAAATATGCTTAAGTGTAGAAATAAGAGCTTGCCTGTAGTTCATTTATGTTAAAAATATTGCACGTACTTACAGGTATGATAATATTACCTGAAAGCGCTATACTAGTATTGACGTGGCAAACGTTGGCTATGTCGATGGATATGAATTTCGAGGATCTTTCAGTAATATTTAAGGATATAAATTTCAACACACAAGTAGAATTAAAACCAGAAAACTTACTAAATCTTAGCATTTCTATAACAAAGAAGAAAGGCAGATTCGAGGTAATATTATCATAGTAATAAAATAGAAATGACGTTTACACACCAAACACACTAATATATTTTTAATTGTTTTTTTATAAGAAAGATGATTCAAAAGATTTGCAATTAATATTTTTTAGATCTTTGAAACATCTATTCAAACATACGTGTTGTTTAAAGGTGGAATAAAATGAATGTTTTTCAGAGCTCACAAAAAATAAATCTGATAAAAAATATATTCATTTCATTTCAGGTAGTTCATAACAATGAAATAATTGTCACTGGTTACATAGTCGAATATGAAGATGATCCAATGAGAAAGGTTAACCATTCTAGCGCCAATACAATAAACGACGTAACTTTGTTTGCAGCAGATATTTACAAATTCCTTAACCTTCGAGGTCACGTTTATACGTATGTATTCAATATATAAAAAAACATTGTATGTTTTGATCATATCATTAGTACTAGAATTACTACTTTTTGTATGTCATAACCTCAGACCAATAAAATACTTTTTTATTGGTCTGAGGTCATAACATTCAAAATTAAATGATTTTGTCACATATATCAAAATCACATTTATTTATATTATAACTTACCGCTACAGTTTTACAAACTTTATCTTATATCGAGCCGAGTCGACATAACTAAGCATTAACTATACTAATTAATTATTGCACTATTATAAAATCTACAAAATTCAAAGTTTATTAGGTACTCCATAATTTAACTATTTCAGAAACCAATTTCAATCTCTTCATTCGTTAAACCTTAAATGCAATGAAGCATACATAAAATGGGCTGGTGATTGGATCATGTTCCTTGATGGCTTAATACAGATCAACATATTTGCAAATAAACACAATGGTGTATCTAGACCGAAACTTATAGAGAGTTTGACTATTGATATTAATGAGCACGCCAAAGGACATAACAAAACTAACATTGATGGCGCTATTTGCTATAAAGCAGACTATTATGAGAACTTTAATATTCTAAGGTAAGATATTGTCAGGTTTTGTTTTTAATAAAATTCTTTCGGAAAGATAGATGTAGTAGATTTTTCTAAAACTATTGTGTTGTTACGTTATTCTTGCAGAAGTGGCGGTGTTCAAGTTGTGAATGTTAATTTTGAAAATCTTATCCCTCAGCGGGTCGAATCTGATTTCTTAGGCTCGTTACAGTTTTGGCCACACTTTTCAGAAACTGAAGTCGAAGTTAGTATTTGTACTATTTTATCAATTATATAATAGTACATTACTTATTACAACAAATTATATGATAATAATTATTTTTACAGTTAAATACAGCTATCACAATAAACATGCAAATTATTGCTGATGCTACTTTGCAAAGGGACCTTAAAATAACAGAGCTTAGAACATCAAACATAAATATCATATCAAATGCTATAAAGGACGTATCAACTCAGCTCCCTATAAAACTGAGATTTAATCATATCAATATTGAAAATGGAAAACTAAATCTTCTGAAGAAACATGATTTATCTCAGTCAGATTTATTAGTAGTTTATGACTTTGTAATGGATACCGAGGTATTTATTATTGTTCTGTTTCATCTACATATTTGATATATAATTATAATATATTCCTACCATATCTTAGCAACGAAAATCCTAATATTTTCGAGTGAAAACAAACGTATTTTCTCGTAAAGATCCAAATTGCTCTATTAAAATTTTATAAATTAGACTAAGCTTTTGAATAGGTAGTGTACAATTGTTTTTATTTTAGACGATGGCTGCAATATATGATCATCTACCGAGAAATGGATTCATTTTATCGTTAGAAAACAGAAAAAATAAAAAATACATCATTCAAACTGATTATTTTAATATTTTAACCGTATTTCCTACGAATGACGATTATAAATTAGTTTTATTAAATAAAGTTGAAATTAATCATGTTGTAAACGACAAAGTAGTTGTAAAAGTTGATGATGATAGCTACTCTTTTATGAATACATTAAAAAAAGAGCTTAACAATAATAAGAGAATTGTACTGCTTTACGAAAAACAAAACTACTTTGATCTAAAGGGTAAGAATGTAATAATATTCTTTTAATTTTTTGGCCACACAGATATAGAGTCATATTTCTATGTGATTCTGATTTATAGATAGCTCTTTGGGACTATTGTGTTCTGTTATTATTATTCATTCTAAGACAGTATAAAGTTTAGTTTATAAAGTATATGTTATACTAATTAAACTTAGTCTGTATAGCTCTCTATTATGTTAGAAGGCAAAAGTCTGTTCATTGATTACTTTTTCTCAAAATAAATAAAAGAATAACTGTTTTCTTTTTTGTGTTATGCATCACAATAAAGGAATGAATTGAAATATGCTAAGTTTTATTATTATTTCTGAATTTTTAGGTTACTTGAGAGGGCTACGGGAAGAATATCGTAACAAAATTAGTTTGTACATGATGCTAGATGAAGGATCGCCAGATTTTAATGTTGACAATAATTTCTACAGTAAACAGCTGCAAAAGAATCTACCATTTAACACACTGTATAATGTAAGGAATGAGTTAGCTACAATGTTCTGATTAAATTTTAAATGTTATATCATAGAACCTGATATAATTTCATTATTATGCTTACAGGGTGAATGGGGAGGATACTATTACACAACGTTCAATAACTACAAAGATATTCCCAAAAATTCTAAACTTAATCTAACAGAATTTGGAAACATAAATAGTGTGCACTGGGAGGAGATAGACAATCTGAATAAATCTAATAATACTGTTGAGGTAAAAATATATACTGCTTTATTTACCGAAATATTTTTAAGCATTTATTATATGTAAAACCGTTTATAATAGTAATAGATAATCTTATGAATAGGGGAATGTTATTGTAATTACAGGTGCAATATGCAGGATTATCATTAAAAGATGTAGAAAAAGTATTCTGGAGACCAGTTAATAACAAAAAAATATCTTTTGGTATGGACTATAGCGGTTTTGATGCTAGGTAACTGTAACTAAGGCCACATAATCACTAAAAAAATAAATAAAATTAATAATGACAGAAAGAAAGCGTAACACTTACTTTTATATTTTAGGGGTAATCGGGTGATGGGAATCATTGCCGATGGTGCAATTTCTAAGGAAATTGAATATGATTTAGATTTACTTTGGCCCGTTCCAAAAACTTGGTCTTTAGAAGAAGCTGCGACAGTTCCTCTACCGTACGCCCTCGCCTATTATTCTCTGGTAAAGAAAAAATAATTTATATCATAATTATACTACGGGACTTAACGCGTGAATTCGTAAGTGGATATATACCTTGTTACCCCAATGTTTCCTTGTGAAGATCAAGTAAGTCACTTCACAAGGATGTGGGTGCCTGTGAAAAACATCTCCGATCGTAGCATGTGATGCCGTACACCACCAGTCTGCCCGTGACCACGGCTGGTGCAACCCAGTCGAAACGTCGGGTATATAGCCACCTACAAATTCACGCGTTAAGTCCCGTAGTGTAATTATTATATAATTATGAAACGCGTTAATTTAAAAAGTTATAAAAATAATTGAATTATTGATGATTATTGATAATTAAAATTCATAATGGAATTGTTCACATTTTTTTTATTCGTATATGATGGTAGATGTTTATCTTTTTTTTAGGCACTTAGAGGAACTTTGTATGCAGAAACAACAGTTTTTGTTAATGGTGGAGCTGGAGCACTTGGACAGGCAGTAATATCGATATGTCTAAGTTTAAATTGTGTTATATTTACCACAGTTAGCGATTCTGGCAAGAAAGCGCTTCTACTTAAACTTTATCCTACATTAAAAGGTACGTTTGTCTAATTTCTACAAATCTAGAATTCATAATAAGTGCATTGGAAAGGTTATATTTTGATCAAGTAATTAAATCAAATAATGTTTTGAAACACATTTCGCTATACTAAAACAACTAAGCCCATAAAATATAGTCTAGCTCAATAAATAAAACAGAGGAAATCTAATATATTATGTGTTGAAATTCATTTGAACTATATTAAGAGACCTTTTATTCTTTAGATTAATAATGTTATACTAGTGCATTAACACGCGTTTTATAAAGACGAAAATACGAGTATTTCGCTCAACGTTATATATATTATATATATAATGTTGAACGACATAACAAGAACATATAGTTACATATGATGATACAACTGTCGTCGAAATAAGTCGTTCCGTAACTTTATCGTGTTTTAAATTTGTTTATAACAGTTAAACTCATATAACAAACTGTGAAATGTGAAATTAGTGAACTTTGTGACTTTTAAAATAATTTACTATAATAGTGCACACTTGTTTCGAACGTAATACTTTAATAAAACAGAATTAAAAATACTATTAGTGAATGTGATAAAACAAAACTACCTCCGCCTATATTTATATTTTATGCTAGCACTCATAAAGCAAGCAGCAGAATAAGCATAATTTCGTCATGCACAACAACGTTTGAATGGCCAAGGGGTATCAATAGTACGTTGTAATATTGTATGGCGTGAGTTCAAATCCAACTTGAGCGTGGAAGATTTTTTTCGCTGTTGTAATTTATTTAAATAATATAAAACTAACAAAATGCTAAATGAGTGTTACATTTGTAAAACTGCTGTGTTAGTTACACAAAAAAGAATCAAATGTATAAAGTGCCAAACTCAATGTCACTTGGAATGTACAAACCCAACTTCTAGTAACAAATCGGTATTATCTCGTGGAAAGTGGATATGCCTGCTTTGCACATCTACGGCAAATAAAGGAGGAAATAATACTCGGACGCCGCCAAGCTGTGAAGAGACCATTAATAAAGAGGTAAATAATACTCAGATATTATCAACTCCAAGTACATCCACCGAGGGACCACAATATCTTAATAAAAATTCTGATTTCCTATTGGCAATAAGGGACGAAGTTAAGGAGGCCGTCTCTAGAACTATTGGAGGCGAACTTTCTAAAATCCGTGAGGAACTAAATGGTTTACAAAACATAAAAGTGTCAATAGATTATCTGTCAAGTCTGTTCGAGAGTGTAAAACAAGAACTAGAAGAAGCTAAAACTGAAATATTTAATCTTAAAAAAGAGAACAGTAACCTCAAAGAAATTATTGCAACTAATAACAGCACTATTAATTTTCTAGAGAAAGAATCAAGATCAAGCAATATTGAACTGCACTGTGTCCCAGAGTTTAGAAGCGAAAATCTGGTCAAAGTAGTTGAACAAATTGGTAACATAATAAAAGTTCCAATCCTAGAAGGACATATATCTAAGTGCACAAGAATAGCCAAGTTTAACAAAAATTCTTCACGTCCTAGATCGGTCCTTGTCAAATTTGGCAATCAGTTACTAAGAGATCGTTTCCTAGCGAGTGTTATTAACTTTAATAAATCAAACGCAGGTAACAAATTGAATACGTCACATATTAGAATATCAAGGGATAAAACACCTATATATATTTCGGAAAATTTGACTGCAGTAGCTAAGGAACTTCACGGTGCAACGCGCATTTTTGCAAAAGAAAAAGGATATCGTTTTGTGTGGACTCGCAACGGCAAAATTTTCTTACGAAAATCCATATCTAGTGACATAATAGTAGTTAAGACCAAAGACCAATTAAAATCATTAGAATAGTTTTATTTCATTTACACTTTTTAGATATTAAAATCTACAACATCATTTATATTTCACTTCGGTTTAATTAATTATTTTTAAATATTTATTTTCTACATTTTAGTAAATTATATTTTATCTTTTATGTCTGATACTCTAAGATTATTTTATCAGAATGTAAGAGGTATAAGAACAAAAACAGTTGAAGATTATCAATCTGTGCTAAATTCAAACTACGACATATTGGTATTTACAGAAACGTGGCTAAATAATAATATAATTAGTGATGAGTTTATGGATGGTAGATATAATGTGTTTCGCAGAGATCGTGAAACTACTAATTCTTCTCGTCAGGATGGTGGAGGAGTTCTGATAGCGGTTTCCAAGAGACATAAATTTTACAGAGTAAACTCCTGGGAAACGAGCAATGAAGATCTTTGGGTTAATATAATTTTAGGTACAAAAACTGTCTCCATATGTGGTGTCTATATACCACCACCATTAAACTATGAGAGAATAGAGGATTTCATGCAAAACGTAGAAAAGATTATGAATAAGCAAACGCTAATGTTGATAGTTGGAGATTTCAATTTACCATCAATTAAATGGAACACGGAGGATGAATGTAAGAATAACTTGATTCCTAATGATCTCAATACAATTAGTACACTAGTAAGCGATTTCATGTCAGTATCCGGTTTAAAACAACATAATAGTATTAGTAATTCCTTTGGTAAAACATTGGACTTAGTCTTTAGTAATGTAAGTGATATTAGAGTTGAGGTCAGCGATTTTTCAGTATGTAAAGTTGACAAATATCATCCACCGTTGTCTGTCGAAATTTCTTATGATGATAAGCTTCAGCTATTATTAACACCGGAGTCGACAACACGATACAACTTTATGAAAGCAGATTACGGTGTCATTGAGGAGAAACTTAAAAACATAATCTGGACCGAATTGTTTAACACGTTCACTGCGTCATCATTTTGAAAGAACTTTCAGCTGGTGCTTTGGAGACCTAAAAGATCTCGAAACTAGCCTACCCTTTGGTGCGTTAGAGACCTAATCAGTCTCCTAAAAATACAGTTTTGAAAATAATTTATATCTTCCAAAAAACTAATGACATATATTTTGAAGTTTTTGTGGGTCAAGAGAGCCTATTGCTTTACATTTTACTAGGTTCGCACGCAGTTATGACATTAGAATAAACTACAAATACCAAAAAAAAATTAGATATCGATTGTATCTCGTACCGCAACCGAAGATAGTTCAATATGTGTAGTAAGTAGTGATGGGAATAAAATAATATCTCAGTTGTCGATTGAAAAAGTTTTATTAAAGAAGTTTATTTATAAACTATGCAAAGTGTTTTTCATTAAAACATGGTAAGCACATTGATTATTAGCAATGAGCGCAAATGGTAACAATTTTTTTAGCTTTTTTTAGAAGCGTCAGTGCTGTTTAATGTGCGTCGTAATTTTTCATAACAACCCACACAACGTCTTTTTTGTCGCCACGTTGGAAAACATGATCTATACATCTTCCTTCGGGGAATTCTGTAATAAAAAGCATTATATTTTCCAAAATTGTAATTATACTGGACGATGCAGCACTATAATCCGGCGTTGATTTTTATTCTTAGAAATCTCACCAAAATAAAACAATTTTATTAAATAATTAAATAAAATATATTAAATAAAAAATTTTTTACACTTTTTCGAAACGTGCGCGCAACCTCCCACGTCGACACTAGGACAACACTAAATCGATTCACACAGCGCCCGCGCCGCCAATCCTCCCTCTCTTGCGTCTACGAGGCGTACGATTCCACGAGTATGGACATGTCTCCTAACGTAAGGAATAAAAATAATTATAATATTGTGCGTTAGGGACCTAATCCATCTCTGTTTATTTTTTTATGTCCTCGAATTCACCTTTAAGTAGGAAGCAAATATGTATATTTGTCTTGCTCATACTTAAAGAACTTTACACGTTAGAGCCTCCCGCAAGGAGTGAAACAACACGATTATAGTCAACGCACAATACAAAAGTCCTGCAAGAGATCTGATAGATCTCGTAATGCAGCGAACGTGTTAAAACATGCGATACTGTAAATCAAATGATAGATATATTTTATATAGAACTACGTAAGGTTATAGAGGAATTTATACCAAAAACTAAATCAAAAAATAAAAACAAATATCCTGTCTGGTATTCAAAGAATCTGATAAAAAGATTAGCAGAGAAAAATAAATACAGAATTTTGTATAAAAAATATAAAAATCCACTTGACAAAGTAGAATTCGACCTACTTAGAACAAGATACCAACTTATCATAAATTTAGAATATAATAATTATATACAGACAGTGGAAGATAATATTAAAATAAACCCTAAATATTTTCACTCATATTTAAAAAGAATGCGAAATAATAAATGTGACTATCCTGCGTTAATGACATTTAACGATTGTGAATTTACTAACGGAAGAGATATTTGTAATCAATTTGCTATACACTTCTCGAATACATATATGACATATAACAACATTTCAGCTTTAAATTCAGGTACAAATGCTCAATCTAATTTTAATTTGCAACTTGCTAATGTATGAAGAATGTAGAAAAGCAAGAAGTCATAGATCAATTAAAGAAACTTGATATACATAAAGGCGCAGGCCCTGATGATATTCCACCCATTTTTGCAAAAAATTGCGCGGAGACATTAGCAAATCCTTTAATTATTTTATTTCAAACATCCCTAGCAGATGGTACATTTCCGAGTGTATGGAAAAAGGCCAGGGTTGTACCTATATTTAAAGGTGGAGATAAAAAAGATATAACTAAATATAGACCCATTTGTATACTCTCCGTCTTCTCAAAGATCTTTGAAATTATTGTATGTAGATCGCTCAGTTGGTACGTAAAACCTATTATGATAGAAAATCAACATGGATTTTTAAGGAATAGATCCACAATGTCTAATTTAGCCTCATTTGTTACGGATATATCTGAAGTGTTAGACAATAACGGGCAAGTAGACTGCATCTATACAGATTTAGCCAAGGCTTTTGACATAATTGACCACAATATTCTACTACATAAGTTAAGGAATTATGGTATTTGTAAGAAATTTATTGATTGGATTGCATCGTATTTGCATAATCGAGAAATGAATGTTGTAATTGGTGGAAATCAATTTGATACCTTCATTGCTACGTCCGGTGTACCGCAAAGGTCACACCTTGGTCCTAATATTATTCGGACTTTTTATAAATGATGTAATAACATGTTTTGATCACTGTAGGATATATTTGTATGCGGATGATTTAAATTTTTTTTTAAAAATATCAACAATAGACGATTCCATTAAAATGCAAGCAGACTTAGAAAAACTTGTATCATGGTGTGAACGTAATCATTTAAAACTAAATTACCAAAAATGTTATAACATAACATTTAGTAGAAAAATTCGAACAATAAAATATGACTATAATATAAATGGTAATAATTTAACATGCATCAATGAAATATACGATCTCGGAATTTTATTGGATTCAAAACTAAGTTTTATCCCACATATAGAAGATGTTATTAAAAAATCTCTTAAAATATTGCGACTTATTTTAAGAAACACAAAAGATTTCAAAACATCTTACACGAAAATAGTGCTTTTTAACTCATACGTCAGAAGCAAGCTGGAATATTGTTCGACTGCATGGAACCCTTATTACCAAATTCACAAAAATAGACTAGAAAGAGTACAAAAAAGATATTACGTACATTGTGTTATAAAGATAATTTAGAATATAATTACAATAATCTGTTAAAACACTATCGTACATTTTCATTGTCCACACGAAGAGATGTTTTGGATCTTTGCTTTTTGAATAAAATTATAAATGGAGATATTGATTGCCCTGATTTAGTACGAAAAATAAAGCTAGCAATCCCTAAAAACACTGTTAGGACTTCTAGCTCTAAGCAAACGTTTGTGACCAAAATTGCTAGAACAAACTTAGGCCGCAATGCACCTTTAAATAGAATCATACAACTATACAATACTATCTCAAAAGAAAAAGCTGACATTGACATATTTAAGTATTCTGGGAAAGCATTCAAAAGAAAAGTTAAAATGCATTTTTTAAGTTTAAACTCAAATTATACCACTTAATGTTATTATATTTCTATACTATACAATTTTAATCAATTTTACCCATATTTTTATATCAACTGTTTACTTATACCTCTTACCAAATAGTTTTAATTTTGGAACATTTAAAAAATTTGTTTTACACTGTTTTAAATATTTTATATTTTTAGTTGTAGTTTTTATAATTTTTGGATGTTTTTTTGGCAATAACTTTTTATACCATTTAAATTTTAAACCTTCACATTTTTTTTAAGTATATATTTTTTTGTAATTTTTTATGCATGTTTTTTTATTTGTTTATTGTTTTTTTTTAACTTTACTTTTTTTAACTTTACACTTTTATTAAGTATTTTATTTTTCATAGGATAGATATGTAGTATAAGTTTCGGAACAGCTAGCTAGTTTACGCATGTTAAGTTAGCCTATAAGTGTGGTGTATAGTGTAAGAAAAATATTTTATAAGAAATTATTATGTATAAAAGATCAAAAGCACTGTATACTATGTTGGCTTCCTATATAATAAATAAATAAATAAACATTTGAATCTATATCTGGGGGTACCGCATTGCCCCTGCCAAGTCGAGCTCCTTTTATCGAAGCCATTCAGGACATTTTCCACACCCTTTTAACTTCGTTGTGGATAAAGTTAGAAGCCTAAATTTTCAGTAACTAATAGGACATAATACAACTATGTATTCCACAATAAATTCAACTTGAACTTGTAGGTTAAAAACTGTTGCATGTTAAATTTCTGTAATTTCGTCACTCACTCGCCAATCATCAAATTTCTAAGGTACACATACACTAGCACACAAAAGAGCTTCCAATTTTGGACACAATTAGTGTTTAGCTTATAACGCAAGGAAAAACTAAAACATTCCGTAATTTCAGTCCCGTTCTCTAGATATACAACGAACTGCAACTGAGTAAACTGCAACTGAAGTAACTTTGTAATCCTATTCATAGTATACAAATAAATATGCAATATATGCGATTACAAAGTTATTTGTGCCGTTTATATAATTTTTCTAACTTAGACTACCCAAATGGATAGCTAGGTAAATAGAGTATAGTACAGTAAGTCACAGATATTATGCGTAAGATGTATATAGCTAATAACAACGCCTAAAATAATATTTTCGCATTTAAAAAGTAGTTTTCTAATACATGACAATTTTGCTTATACAATAGTGGCAATGTAAACATTGTTGTTTTTATATTACCTCTGTTCCTGGTTATGTGTTCGACCTGTATGTATGCTTGTATGTCTCCTCCTAAGTACTAATCTAACTTTTATTCATCTATTTATTAATGTTTATATTGCAACTATTGTATACATGTATTAGAACACTATAATTTGACAAATGCTCAAGTATTATTTCAAGCGTTCTAAGTAGCTTTATATATTTTATGCATATACTAATGGGTACATAAATATAACGTAAAAGTGTATACTAATATTCGATTACATGTTGTTTATAATGAAATGATGAAAATATATACCTAATTATGAAACAACTAGACGCTTACTTAATTATGAAGCAAAGCCAGTACGTTTTCTTTTGCGATGTTGATATGAATTAGAAAACTTGTGAACCTATTCCTTTCTTCAGGATTTACCTACAATGCCGCATAGACACATAAATCTACACTTTTTATTAAACTAATCTTTAAGTTCAATATCAGTATCAGGGTAGGTATTTAGGGTGGACAATGAAATCAAAATATTCGTTAAACTAATTATACCTTTTATACCCAATGAATAATAAAGTAGTATTAAAGCCCAGAAATCCGCAATTTCTGAATACAATAGACTTTAAAGCATTTTTGCCGTTCAGACTTGTAAAAACTTGTTACATCATAGCCTCTGAGAAAAGCCCACAGAGACAGCGAATAGTACAAGAAAAAAACAACACGAGAATTATTTACAAAAAGTAGTTCTTCTACCGTAAAAAGTTGTGCGATTTTTACATGATATGTTCTTGATGGGATATACATATATTCCTTTAAGTTAGGTGCTTTATAGATTGAGAGTTGGTCCTTCGTCTGATCTCATCGATTCTTTTAGTCATACTTTATAAGATGCTTGTAAAATGACTTCATTACACAAAATCATATTTAAAAAATTAAATTGAATGTCATACATGAGAATCGAATAAAAGAATATGATCTGCATGCATGATCCGCATTCGCCTCTCTGTTCCATCGAGTGCATTGACTTTATGTGACTATATAAATGTGTTATCTACTCAATAACACCTGGCTTCTGAACTTTATCGTGAATATAAGCGTTATCTCTGGGTCTATAAGCTTTTGTATTTTCGTTAAGAATATCTGTTTTTAGTTGCTTAAATCTCAATTGATGTCTAAGTCTTCAGTTGTCTAACAGCAAATTTCGAAGTGACCTTCAAATTAACATTCTGCACATTCATAATTTCTGGCTTCACATTTGTTAAAGCTGTGTCTATTGTGCTTACTGCATGTGCGGCATTGGTCTTGACGTAATTTGCATGTTGGTTTTCGAGTGTCGTTTTCTTTTCTGATCCCATGTCCCATGTTTTGCTAGATATTCTGCTAATGTTTAACACTCTGTATTAATATCTGCTTCAGCTAGTTCCCTAGACTGAACAATAGTAAATAATTGTTAAAAGGCTACATCTGTTTTTATTCCGTTTTCAGTTTCTATAAGATAAGGTCATTTTTGATGATGATCTTTAAATCACTGATGATCTTAAAATATATCAAAAATTAGAATACATAAATGATTGTATGTATATACAACAAGATTTTCGGTATGGTGTGATCATAATAATTTAAAATTAAATCATTTAAAATGTTACATTATAACGTTGAGTAGAAAAGTAAAAAAAATCAATTTTGATTACAGTATTAACGGGAATGTTCTGGAGAAAGTCAGCCAAATCAGTGACATCGGGATCATTTTAGATAGCAACCTAAGTTTTATACCACATTTGGATGACATAAAACAAAAATCACTGAAATTGTTAGGTTTTATTTTGCGAGCTTCAAAAGAATTTAAAAGGTCCTCAACCAAAATAGCGTTGTTTAATTCGATGATACGTAGTAAACTTGAATATTGCTTTGTTGCATGGAATTCTCAGTATCAATTTCATAAAGATAGGATAGAAAGAGTGCAAAAGAAATTTTTACGGCAATTGGCGTAGATATGTACTGAAACAAAGTAAAAGCTATTGCGATCATCTAAAATTATATAAATCTCTGTCTCTATTAAATCGTAGAGACTTAGCAGATCTTTGTTTTTTATATAAAATTATAAATGGAGGTATCGATAGTCCAAATTTGTTAAATAGAGTCAGATTAGCAGGAACCAAGGCAAAATGCTAGAAGTCACATTAAAAAGAAGCAAACTTTTAAACAACGATTTGCTAGGAGTAACCTTGGCAAGGCCGCCCCTATAAATAGAGTGATCATTACATATAACAACGTATTTATAAATGCAGGTTTGGATATTTTCCAATAATCAGCTTCATCTTTTAAACGACAATTTAAAAAAATGTTCACCACATAGAATTGCCTCTTGTAGTTTTTATTGTTATAGGCGTAATTTGTTTTAATTGTTTGTGTTGTTTTTTTTTAATCTCACAATGAAATATTTTATAGTTCGTATTGTTTATTTATATTTTAGTAATTTATAATTTTTTAGCGGTCTTAAGTTTTATTTGTGTTTTTTTTGTATATTTTTTTAGTTATGTAAGTTTTTTAAATTACTACTTTCAAAGAATGTTTTGTATTGTTTTTACGTTCTTCTTTATATATTAAGCATGTTGAGTTAACCTGTGAAGTATACAATTTCTATCACAGATACTTAAGAGTGTGCTCTAGAATAAAAAATATTATAATTTACAACATTGGCTTCCTATTTAAATAAATAAATAAAATTTTGTCTTAGTTCAATTTGCAATTGTTGATGATTTAGTCCTCCTGTAGCGAAGCGATCTCGTAACTGTCGTTCTAATATAGCGTCGTCATAACCACAATTTTTGTTGAGTTTTTTCAAAATATTGACGAAATGTTCCATGCTTACACAAGTATCTTTGATACAAGACTAAATTTCTGTAAAAGCCTTATATCTTGTTTTCCGTGTTTTATATATAGCTAGTATTTTATTTTGAATATCATCGTTGGAAGAATTTTCGAATGAGAGTATTAGTGCTGTTTTAATTTTGTGATATGTTTCTGGTGTTAATCATGATAATAAAAGGTCTTTCAGTATAACTAAGTAACTTTCACCCCCTATTCTACATTTTGCTTCGAAATAGTTGATAAAATTTTCAATTGACGAGCTACTTGTTCTCTCCTTTAAAATTATTAATGATGGCTAATTTATTCATTTCCTTCGGCGTTGAGGTAGTTACCTGCGATTCCATTGTTGTTCAATTGTGTGGGTGTGATAATTTGTGTTTTTACTAAAAATGTCAGAATTTCTTTAATTTGTTTATGCTGTGATACTTGGTTGCGAATAGGTCTTTTTGTTCAGTGTTCATTTTTATTCATTTTCTCATCACCAATAAAATAACTTCAATACACAAAATTATTAGACATTTTTTATTAGTTTAAAAAATATTAATGTTATACATGGGAATCGTATATAAGATTATTTTTAAAAAATACAAAGAATGTATATTATATAAAGAGTATTTATAACAACTCGGATCATAAAACTAAAGGAATACACTATCTACCTGTGACTATGCACACCCTCGTGCTTTATATGTACATTCTTACGCAGATGTCTACTTGTGTTAGATTCGCCGGCAAAGATTTATGGTTTATACACCTTTTAGATAATTTTTTTTTTATTTTCAGAAAATCAAATTTTAAATTCAAGATATGATGACTTTTATGCATTTGTTATGAAGCAAACCAACAACAAGCTGTGCGACTATGTAATCAACTGTGAAAGCGGTATATTCCGCAATGTAAGTCAACAATACTTCTTAAATATATTTTATATTTTTTTGTTGTACATAGCATTTTAGTAGAAGTCACGGCTTCACCCGCAATCAAACTGCAAAGAAAACAAACACTTTGGTCTTATATTATAACTAATAATTTGATGGCTGTAATCATTTTCAAACGTCTGAGTATGATTTTGACTCGCACATCGAGAGTTCCATGCCGCAAAATATCATGTTATGTTTACTAACATATTTAGACATTAAAATATTTTTTACGCTTTTGCAATGCATACTTTATTATTTGAAAAAACAAGTTCGTGTTTCATATTATTTCTTGCAGATATTGTAGAAAACAAACTTTATTTTAGCGATCGTAACTCAAAATATCCACTATCTTATAAGATATTTAACGTAAATAAATATATCGCACATCTAGTTCTTAAAAGTCATAAATGTCCACAAATCCAAAATTGAGTTAACACTGTCAAAACTTCCCTTTTATATGAATGCATTGAGTGCTTAAAAATCTCTTTTTTAATTCAACAACTATACGTTAGAGAGCGCCACTGTCATTATAGCATTCAGTGCAAAAGTTTCGCGCCTTGAGTGCAATGACGTCGTATTGGTCAGTAACGCGCGACCCCCCGCGGCGAGTGGTTGTGTTCAGAGGCTACATCGTCTTACAGGTAATTATGACTTTAAAGTTTCATATTTTTAAAGCTTAAAAGACGTAACTGTACATTATGTTGTTATAGCACGCAAGCAACTGAAGGTTCAAAAAGCAGTAACGCCCTTTTTGTATAATTGTGTCTTTCTAGTCCTAATATTAGTATCAATGTTCATTTAACAACCACCTAATTGTAAATTATGCTATTTCAGTACTAGATTATTACCAAATGGTAAAATGAGGAAGACTATAATATTGTATAATGAGGCATTTTGCAATAGACATCCGACTTATTAAAAGTCCCCCATGTACTCCTGCGTCCCTCCATGTTCGCCACACGTCCCGCCATGTCAGTCAGTCAGTCACCCAGTCAGTTTCCATTCTTATATAGATACCTACTAGTAAATTGATCTACTAAGTACTCTTGATTATTATTATATTTTAAGGTGGATCATCACGCAATAGGTGGGAAATTGAAACTTGTCATGTTTTTATTGATTTAATATTAAGTAAGCAGGTGCCTACTCAATGTTATCTAAAGAGTGTAACCTTTCCGAAAACTTTAACCCTGGCTTCAGACCATCGTAATGATACGTGAAAATTGTTTAGAATGAGTATCTGAAGCCATGGTGTAAGTTTTCAGATGTTTCTTACACCCTTTATACAGGATGTCTCATTTCAATCGGTAAGTATGGGAAAGTTTGAAAGAATAAGACATACGAAGATCTGTTCTTAGGAACCATGCTATTGATTTTAATAAGAGTTAAATAATGAAATGAAAATGTTTCATACTCTCCCGTACACACCGATTGAAACAAGACAACCTGCATTTTAGATACTTTTATAACGAAAACATTGTAATTTACAGTAAAATGGCAAGTAAACGCAACAAAATTTTGATTGAAAGGGCTATTAATGGGCAAGTCCCCGCTTCTTTTGCAAAGCAACAATTGTTTAACACCCAAAAAAATAAAAACGACCCCGAGGAAAAAAATAATCCACATCGACCTTTGTTTACTCTCGACGATGGTAAAAAGTGTGACGAAGACATTGCACCGGTAGATAACATTAATCTTGAAAGCTCTGTAGACGTATTTGAGAAGGAAAATCTGATTGATATTTCTCTGTCTTCCGTTGTTCAACGTAAATTCCACGAAAGCTGTGATGAGAAAGACACCTTTGAAGCTGAAAATATTTCTGAGGAAAACGACCCGTTCGCTGGAACTGACAGTGAAAATGAATTTGTACCGAATAGAAAGAAAAAACGATCACGTCTTTTATCCAATTCCTCAACATCAAGTTCTTCGTCTGATTCTTCATCTGGTTCTTCGTCCAGTTCATCGTCCAGTTCATCTTCCAGTTCATCTTCTAGATCATCTTCTAACTCTACGAACTCGTATTCATCGATTTCTACTAAAAAAGGCAAAAAAAGAGTACGAAATGTTGCCAACTGGAAAAAGAATAAATCAAAACTATTGAAAAATTCTGGAAAAGAGTTTGTATCTCAAACTGGGAAACTAATAAAAGCTAAAGAAATGAAGCCTCCATGCACAAGTAAATGCCGATTATCTTGCTCAACGAAATTAACGACAGAGAGTAGGCAAAAATTGTTTGACAATTTCTGGAGTCTTCATTCATTTCAGAGGCAACGGGATTATTTGTCAACGTGTGTGGCAGTACTCAATGTTTCTGTGCGTCGCTTGAAAGTAAATGCTACAAAAGAAAGACGACCAAATTGTTGTTTTACATTTTCAGTAGAAGGAAAACCTATTAGAGTATGCAAAACCTTCTTGTTAAACACTTTGGCTATAGGCGAAAGGATGTTACGTACAGTTATTCAAGCAAAATGCAGTGGTACTGGTATAGTTCCAATCGATCGTCGTGGGAAGCATTCAAAAACTAATTTGGACCCAGAAATCGCGCAATCCGTACGTGACCATATAAATGCCATTCCGCGAGTCGAAAGCCACTACATTAGGGTTAACACATCTCGTGAATTCATTGATGGTGGTCTTACTATTGCCGAAATATATAGACACTATAAGCAGGAAAGAGAAGCATTGAAAAAAAATGCCGCAAAATATGAGTTTTACGCACATATATTTAATACGGAGTTTAACATTTCCTTTTTCATACCCAAAAAGGATCAATGTGACCTGTGTGAGTCGTATAAAAATGCTGTAAATGAAGAAAAAGAGGCTTTAGAACAGAGATATAAGGAGCATCAAAAACAGAAAGAACTTAGTAGAAAGGAAAAATCAAAAGACATTAAGTCTTGCAAGGAACCTAACAGCTCTAAAATTGTTGCTATTTATGATCTCCAGGCTGTGATGCCTGTACCAATTGGAGAAAGCTCAGCCTTTTTCTACAAGTCCAAGTTAAACTGCTATAATTTCACGGTAAATTATTATTCATTGACACGTAAATGTTCTTACTTATTAATAATTTGTGCGTATTATTCAATTTAATGCCATTTCAGGTGACTGATATCAAAAACAAGACTACAAGATGCTATTTTTGGCACGAATGTTTAGGAAATCGAGGAGCAATAGAAATTGGAACCTGTGTTTTAGAATTTTTTAAAAATATAGCTGAATCTCATCCCAACTGTGATGTAGTATTTTACTCGGACAATTGTTGCGGTCAGCAGAAAAACAGGTATCTTTGTCAGTAAGCTTTAGATCGAGCACATCCACACAATTATGCACAATATACACATGCAAACACACTCCACTCGCACACCTATCTACTAACAAACTGCTTATTTAGTTGTTTCTTTCCAGATTCATGCTTGGGATGTATTACTATGCTGTTTCGACACTAAATATTAACTCGGTTAGTCACAAGTTCTTGGTGCGTGGATACACACAGAACGAGGGGGATAATGCACATTCCATAATCGAAAAGGCTGTTAAAAGGGCTAAAAAATCTGGCCCAATTTATGTGCCAAGCCAATATGTTCAACTAATACGCAATGCCAAGAAAACCGGAGAAAGCTTCATAGTTCAAGAACTGAATTACGATGATTTCATAGATCTGAAAACATTGTCTGAAGAAATAGGAATGAATAGTTCGAAAGATATTGACGGAAACGCTGTTAAACTGTCAGAAATCCGAATGATCCGTTTTTTTAAAAACAAAGATGAGTATGAATTCAAAACTTCGTATGAAGAAGAACATTGGACTAAAGTTTCAATTAACATAAGATCTAGAACTTGGCGCAAGTCACGAAGAGATAATGTCAGTGCTCGAGATGTGGTTTTGAGACCTGCATACAATTCTCAAATAGCCATTTCAGAGCGAAAGAAAAAAGATTTGGCACAATTGATTCGCGACAACATTGTGCCAAAGCAATACAACTATTTTTATGCTTCTATTCTATAAATTTGCGATGCGACTTACTGTTAACAATTTTTATATTTTAGCAGTCCTTTTCTTTGTAAATAATTAATAATTTTATTTACACAGAAGAAGGCAATTTTTTATCGTTAATGTTTTAAAATGTTGAGACTGATTTCCCAAAGTATGATTATAATTAATAAGACTATTTAGTTAGTAGTTAAATTTCGGACTTCTATAATTCTTTAGGTTCTTTAAATATAAGAAATGTGATCTGATTACCGTGCCATAATTAAGATAAGATACATAAGTAGGCTAAATAGGCTGAATATAGAAATAAGCTAGAATGTTGCGATTAGAGAAACTGACCACTTAAAATTCACTTTCAAAACTAAAATTATTTATTCTTACAGAAAGAAAGTAACATAAGTATTTGAAATATATTTAATAAACAGATGATTCGTAACTTTCGTGTTTTATTTACAAAATAATACTCTATACCTAACTGTCGTAAGTTACTAACATGACATAATTTACTGCAATAACGCCACAAGTGTGGGAGTTGTTGCACTATTTTGCATTTTTTTTACTGTACATAAACTTACTTTTATTTCTTTTTTTATTTAAATCGTAGATAGATAACCAAAGTTTAAAAAAAAAGCGATTGCAATCACTTGACACACCAAAATTAGTAATAACGACAGTTATGACAAAAAAAAATCTTTAATACGCTCTAGTGAAAAATTTAGATAAATACATTTATGACTTTATAGAACTAGATGTGCGATATTATGTAAATAATTTTTTTATAAAAGTATTTAGCAAGCTCCACTACCGCTATTTTTTGCACATTTTATACTGCACTTTTCCAAAGTTGGGAAGACAGTACATAGACCTCGTATAAAATGTTTACGACTTTAGATAAATAGATTTTCTGAATTGGTACCTTTGCTTTTTGTAGGATTTGCTCAGTAATAAGAAAATGTTTAGACTTGCTGACGTCTGCATAAACGGATAAGCTAAAGCCGGTCTAAACTAACCCAAGGAGGCTACTGCTGTTGATTATAATTGGATGATCTTATGCATTCTTTAACACCGTGAATGTAATAAAAGAAATATAATATTATATTATTATATGGAAAATAAATAAAGCATATTTCAGTTAAATGAATAAAATTATATACAATTTAAATACTGAATTAATTTTTGTATAATATAATTTTTCAGGCTGCAATAAAATGCCTATCAATTATTGGCACCTATTTAGATTTATCTAATAAGGACATGATAGACAACAAACCTTTGGGCATCAGCTTCGCAAATGAATTTAAATATTACTATGGTGTCAATTTTTGTAGTATTTTTAAACCGAAATATTCACATGAAAAAAAAGTAAGTAATGAAATATTTTATACTAAAAACATTATATGACCTACTGGACCAATCGAAATCCGGTTATTTTTAAGAGAAAAAATATTTAAAACCTGAAGTTTTATGAATTTAAAATGTTAGCAGGTATATAAGGAATAGAAATTCATAAAATTTACAAAATTCGTAAAATTCCCCCGATGCCCAGCTTCCCCTTAGACACGGGGGGATGCAAAGCGTTGAAGAAATAGTTTTTCAATTTTCGGCTTACTGTGACGTTCTATCGAAAAATATTTTTACAAAAGTTATAGGTCTAATAAAAGTCTACACGTTTTATACTTACACTTTTTACAATAACCACAAAGTTTTTGTGATATTTGAAAAAACAAGTTTTTAACTTTTCTTGGTTTTTTATTTGTAACTTCTAGGATAATCTCTTGATTTTCATGAAACGAAGGCAATATTATCTTCAAAATACATATAATATATATAAAAAAATTGAAATGTTCAGCCATTTCCGAGAAAAGTGTGTTTTATGGTCTCGAGAGGCTGAAAATCAACGCCAACTTCAAGTGGACGTTTACATTTAAAAAAAAATCATTCAATTTTCAGATAGGGCTCATTCTTTTTATCTTGAACTCTTTTTTTTTGAAAAAAATAAAAACATTGTATGGTCTTCCTGTAAAAACACCCTTAAAAGTTTAAAAAAATTAAGAAATCAATATAATTTTTACTTTGTAAACCATCCATACCATTTGTATCATTAAAGAAGTGTACTATATATTATTATTTATAAAATTTCAAATAAAAAATGAACAAAAGTTATAGATTTGTACTAGACCTACGACTTTTGTAGAAAACATTTTTCGATAGAACGTTACAGTAAGCCGGAAACTGAAAAAAACTATTTTTCAAACCTTTGCGTCCCCCCATTTCTCAGGGAGTAGCTGGGCATTGGGGACATTTTACGAATTTCTATACTATATATTTTAAAATCATAAAACTTCAGGTTTTGAATATTTTGTTCCCAAACTGGACTCCGGTTGGACTATAGTCTTGGTCTTCAATAAGAACTTAATGTACGAATTCGGCAAATAAAAATATGTAAGGAAATAAAAAATATATTTGAAATGTCATATATTGTTACCCTGTGGGTCTCTGATATTTTACGTATTTATTTTAGTTATTACAATCAATGATAGCAGATGGCATCGCTACGGGAGTCGTTAGACCACTTACTTACACCATGTTCTCATCTTCCGAAGTATCCAGGGCCTTCAAGTTTTTATCTTCTAGAAGTCATAGAGGAAGGGTTCTGTTTGATTTAAGAAATCCGCTAAATTCCAATGTGATGCCAAGGTAAAGTGTTTCTGGACGTATCGTAAAATTAAAACGAAATGTGTTTTATGAGTGCTTACTAAAACATAAATATTATTTTATCTAAATATATTGATTACAATTTTGTAACGGTTATATCTAAATTAACCTAAACCTATACATTGAAAATGGGCAGTTGTAGCCTTAGTCGTAACCGAGTGAAGTGAGTTGAAATCCCGGGTCTCGCACCTCTGATATTTTCATGTGCGAATCATTTCCAACATGATTACCACTTGTCTTAACGGTGAAGGAAAAACATCGTAAGGAAACCTGCATGTCTGAGAGAAGCAAGTTTTCAAAAGACATGTGAAGTCCACCAACCCGCACTTGGCCAGCGTGGTGGACTATGGCCTGATTCCCCTCGTACTGAAGGGCGGCCCGTACCCAGCAGTCGGACGTTAAAAAGGGCTGAACACATACATTGAAAATTTTTGTTGGTCCACATATCCGTAAAGTACCCAATAGACGCAGATGGGTTGATTTCGTAACACTTTTTCTTGTACGTATTTTCTAATTTTTCAGGCTTGTATTGAATCCTCAATTTGCATATGTCGTAGTGGGAGATCAAGATGAATTATGTGTTAGTATAATGGATTTATTAATAAAACGTGGCGCGAAGAAAATTTTCTTACAAATAAGATCAAAAGCGGTTTCTCCGTTCATAGAGGCTAAGATATTGTAAGTACAAAAATGCATTTAATAAAAGATACCGATATTCTTACAAAAAATATTCGTAATCGAAATTAATATTCCTCGTTGTTTGTTTAAAATAATAAAACTAAGCCAGTAAACAATAAAACATTCACGTTAGTACTCCAAATTGCACTTCGATCAACAATACTACTAGATATCGGGTCGGCGTAAGAAATTCGTCTCGGTAAATATGAACTCATTTGAAAAATGAGCGTATATTTCGATTAGTTCTATTGAAACACTGCCTACGCTGGCACGTTCACAATGCCGCAATATATATATATATATTTATTTTAAATATTTAAGAAATGCAAAAATAATACGCGAAGAAGAAATTTTTCAAAAGGAGTGTCTTATTTTCGGTAAATACATGTAGTAGATTTAACCTACGAAACAATATAAAAATTAAATTATGAACAATTTAAAATCCGCTTAGAACTTAGGCCCAGGTCGGCCAATACATGCGCCAATACAAAGAAGCAAACAGAAACAAAACATAACGATTTAGCTCACAAAGCAAGAACGGGGGAAGAAAGTGCTTTATGTTTTGTCTTGGTTCGTTAGTATACAAATAAAACAGTATAAGTATACAGTATATTCGCGCGGACAGAATTTAGCTTTGATTTTGTATGTGACACGTTATCTAGTAGTATTGTTGATCGAAGAAATTGAATTATTTTATTTCAGACTATGGATGACTCAAGGTATTGAGGTAAAAGTAAGCCGTTATGGAATTGAGGACGAAGAAAAATGTAGACTTTTTATAAGTGACGCTGCAAAATTAGGACCAATTGAAGGCATATTTATTGCTCTGTACAAGATAGCTGCTCCAGCATATATAAATGTGCCAAGATCAATATCTAATTTGGATAAATTATCAAGAAACATGGATTACCTTAGGTACAATTACATTTTATCAGTACAAAATATCACAGCAAAATTTCTGCGAACACAAAAAGTTTATTTATTAATTGAATGATATAATATTGCAGATACTTTGTAATACTAGCAAGTAATGTTAACAGTTCGGAAGATGAACTTGTGTTCTCAATGTGCAGTAAAATATGTCACTATCGTAATAACATTGGTTTGAATGCTCTTCTATGTCGAGCGGAATTCGTAGATGAGGTAAGTAACGGGATTAAGCACCTTGTTGTTAGAAATTTGATACAGCTCATATTTACCACGTTCGTTATTATTTATTGATGTTCTATCATGCAAAATAAAAAAATGTATAAATAGAGTCTAATTAAAAACAAATTGTCTGAGAGAGATTTTTATTCAATAACTTATTTGTATTATTATATGGTATCGATATATAATTTTGTCTGGATTCTTTTCTTTGTCTGGATTGTTCTGATTTTTTTGTTTATTGTGGTCTTCAATAAGAACTCAAGAAATATTTTAATTTTATTACAGTTCGAAGGTCTTGGCAAAAACCAAACAACGTATCAATCGATACACCAAGTTTTAAATAGCATGGAAAATAGTATAAAACAAAATTGTAGCAATGTGATATCATATAATACAAACAAAAATGCTAAGATGGAATATTCAAGAAAATTAAATGATATTTTAGGTAGGTATGAATATTTCATATGTTGCTTTTATCTTTTTTTATTATAATATTAGAAAACAAAAATTACTTTTTGTCTTCAGGCAAACAAACAAACGGAACTAAATTAGATATAAATGCATCATTACACGATATTGCAATAGAAAAGCTCGCAATAAAAGAAATAAGAGGTTTAATTTTAGAACACTATCAAGTTGCAGTATCTGAGAGGAAACTTATCCAAATGTCTTTATCCAGGTAAAAAATATCAAAATGGTAAATAATCAAAATGCACAATAACTTTTACTTCAACCATTATTTAAAAAAAATGATGGATAGATGTATTACTTCTTAACACTTGAACGGCTAAACAGATCTAGATAAAATTTGGCCTAGATATATATATCTATATATATATATATATATATATATATATATATATATATTGTAGTCTGAAATAGCACAAAGCACAGGTTTGTGTCATATTTATCCCGGAAAAAGGTACGGTTCCCGTGGGATATATTTATTTTTGTTAAGGGACACACCCGAAGCAAAGCGAGGGAGAGTCGCAAGTAGTAAATAATAATTAAAACTAAACCTATATCACACTTACATAAACGCTTACTTTCAGTATCCAGAATGTTGAATACTATTTAGACGACTTAAATAACAATATCGGGCTTGATGCTATAATCTCGTACGTAAATGACGATTCCTATGAAGCATGTGATTCATTCAAACAAATGTTAACGTTGACGAAAAATATTTCAGAGGTAATTTTAAAACTAAATATATATTTCAAAGAGTACAAAGTAAATTGCTAGAAGACAGGACTAGAAGGAAAAAGGGCAAATATTTATTTGTATAGACTGTAGAAATGCTTAACTCGGACTGGTTGTGATCAAGTCCTCCATTAAGGACGACCGATTAATATAAATAGACTCATTCAATTTATTTAATATGGGAACTGATATGGGAATGATGCGAAAGATGCCTTTGACTAAATGCAAGGAAGTTTGCAGAATAAATATTTAATGGTAACTTTACGAGCATACTAAATATGTTATACAGATCTAGGTAATGTGACAACAAGTAGTCTTAGGTACTGTCAGCTAACAAAAACACTATTATAAAACTGGCAAAAAAACAGAACAGAATTATATGTAACTAAGGCAAGAATTAAATTATATTTATTAATTTTAGAATCTCTTTGACATGGATTATGTTGACCCTGCTGCTGAATATTTGATTTTAATTCCTGGTTTTCAAGGCGATTGTGGCATGTTTGAACCTTTATGCTCCACTCTCAAAATTAAAGGAATAACTGTCCAACTTGGACCAGATTTGGCAGCAAATACTATATCAGAAATGGCAGAAAGTATATTGAAGGTTAATATATTAAATATTTTAAAGATTGATAAATAAAGATAAGCAAATAATAATAGTAAACAAATAAGTTTAAAAAAAGTAAAGATTACAATACTTTGATGACAAGTTAACTAATTTATATTAATCTTTTCTGATAATCGCTAGATAATGATCAAAGATCTTAAAAAATTTGATCAATTTTTTATACATAAGAAATAACCAATAGAAGCAGGCCAAGCCTCAAAGCTAATTATTTCTAAGATAACATCATCACACTATAAAAATTATTTAGATTGTATTTAATTATTACTTATCTAATTGTTTAATTCTACTTGTTTCATTTCTATCTTATTTAGAATGCAGTAATAAAACTAGAAGAAAAGAATAAATTTTATCTCTTGGGATACTCGTTTGGTGTTAATATTGCTTTGGAAGTTGCAGCATTATTAGAAAAGAAAGGTATTTTTTTGTATCATAAAAACATATATTGTATTTTACTATTTGTATATAAATAATTAGTTCAAAAATGAAATAACATACAAATATTCATATTACAGGCATCGTTGGTACAGTTTTTTGCCTAGACAGTAGTCCAGATGCTTTGCGTGTACAACTAAATACGTATACCAGCTATTTGGCAGACGAAGAATTACAAAACGTACTAATTGATCATATTTATTACTTAATAACTAAAGAAATAAACAACAAATTTAAAGAAGAAATAAAAACATTTAACACGTTTGAAGAAAAAGTTAAGGTTTTTGTCAAAGAAACAAAAGAACGTGTGCCGTATCCTCAAGAATATATCAGACTAAGTGTAGAATCATTATATAACAGAATTTTACTGGCAATGAAATATAACCCTACATTTACGCTTGAATCTGAAATAGTTCTGCTAAAAGCGAACAATGATTCAAATGCTGAAATTTTACCATATGATTATAATTTGGCCAATTATACCAAGAAAACAGTAAAAGTAGTAAATATTGAATCGAATCATACTACATTGCCATTTAATGTTAATGTGCCGAATATAATAAATAAAATGCTTGACAAGGACCTGCTAACAAAATATAAAAGCACTAATCTTTGCAAAACTTACTTGAATAAAAAGAAGTAAATATGTAATGTGAATATTAAGGGTCCTAAAAGTCTATGTTCGACTTTTACATATTCATAACAAGTTTCGCTTAACTAAGCCGCTAAATTATAAAAAAAACTTATACAATGTAATATTTCAACACAATCACAGCTTTGGTTAGAAGACGCCCAAAAGCGTCCCATGCATTTTTCGGAGGAGGCATGCATCGACTTTTCTATTCATATTATTATTATCATCATACCTAGATAATCTGGTCAACATCAACTTTACCAAGAAAAGAAAAGCTCTGAATAAAATAAAGGATTCATTCATATATGTATTATTTAGTTTATGAAGCCACTTATTTAATTATATGTAATAAAGTACGTTTTAGAAAACATTTCTTTTAATTTTAATGCAGAGAATTAATTGAAAGGATGAAGACCGTGTTAAAATTACACAAAATAAAATATTTTTCCGATGCTACCATAAATTTAAACTTTCTTGAGAAGAAAGACATTGAGTAAAATAAAATAATTTAGATAGAGCTTAAGTAACCCAAATGATATTTTTGTTTTTGAAAACCCTTACAGAGACTTTCGACACTGGTTGTGGATTTTAAATAATTAAAATAGCTCCAAATAATTTAAAACATGAAAAATATTATACGTTTCAAATACTTTTATATAATATATTTTAATCTAATAAGTAATAATATATTTTATTGCTTTGCAAATAAAATAAAAAATAACTAAAAGGTTACATGTGCTGTTCGCAACGAGCTACGAAACATTAGTTCTTATAACGTTAACACGCAACGTATACTAAACATTTTTTTTTGGTTACGCCTTGTAGGAAATTATATTTATTTGCTATGAATTCAGGCTTAAGAATTAATTTTAAATTTATTTTCTACTAAAACATAAAATTAATTGTAATAATCAATTAGTAATTTTATCATAAATATGGGGCATTTCACGTGAAGCGGACAACGAAAATAAAGTGAGGTTGTGAAAATTGTTCATACTCTGGTCAGTTATAGTTCTAGTGGAAATGGATGTGCATATACATTATTTTTTTCGTATAATGCTTTATTGCCGAGTTACGAGCTTTTAAAAATTTACGAAGTTTGAAATCCGAACTTTTTGAATGCTTATTATTTGTATCAATCAATTTGTGAAAATATCTAAAAAAATATCGTTTCTGAAAGTTAAAAGAACGCAGTTTTTATTTTTTTTATGGAATTATAAATTTGCTTTTTTTTTGCGTATAGTAAACCGGAAGTGAAGATTTCAAATGGATGTTTGAGGAACTTCGACATTTTTTTTTCAATATTTTAACTTTGAATTAAAGCTATGAATATCTTAATTCTTCATAAAAAAATTATAACGTGATCGCCAATAGTTTAGGACTTAGAGCATATTGAGTACATACACATCGCACTGCGCGCCACATCCAGTACTTTTTTAGTTGAGTCTGTCGCCTTCAGAACATACTATACCTACTCAATATTTTTTTTTGTAAAATGATATTAAGGAATTAAATATAATTAAATATAATTTATTTCTTTTCTTTTTATAGTAAGTATTTTCAATTTTTAAATATAATTTTTCGTTAAAAAATCTCACTACAATTTTTTAACAAATTTCGAGTGTGAAATAAGAGAGTACGTATAAATCGCAACTATGTATAATAATATACTGCTAAAAGTAGTTAAAATCATACGAGTAAGTAAATATATGGAACAGGTACGGTTCTATTAATTGAAATTGAAATTGAATTAATTATAATAGATAACTTTATTTTGTAATTTTTACAATTTTACTATTTGCTCTAGCACTGGTTCTTTTAACATATAGACCTTCATTGGTTGGAAGAAAATCATAAAGTTTTTTAATTCCTGGAACGTTGATAGCGGAAGCAAAACGGATTCGTAGAAAGTTCGCTCTTGTTGTATACTTTCCTTCGAGCAGTAGTATATTGACGTTTCAGTCAAGGAAGATTTTACCCATTCATACAGGCTGTATGAATGTGTAAAGGTGTAGTGATAATTTTATTGGTAGACTGTAAACTGGCACGTTTTGCCAGACGTTTAAGATTTCCCCCAAGACCATCACATGGCCCTTTTCCATGAGCTGTGGCATGAAAGTGTAACTGTGCTTCTTTGTTAAGATCTTGTTTATAATAAAACAGATTGTCCCTTTCTAACAAGTATCGACTATAGATATTGTATTTCTTAGTAATTCTTTTTGGTACGAGATGGCGTTCACAATCTTATTGTTTCGGATATGAGTCTTTTATATGAACTTGTTATTTTATAACAAATATTTGTGTTGTTAATCATTTTTATATAAAAAAAGAAATTAATTTCGTCTATTTTTATATTTATGCATGTTAAAAGAAAGAATAAAATGGTAAAAGCATAGTATTTTAGCATGTTAACTCATAAACATGTCTGCTACGAAAATTCTCTTAGCGATGTGTATGTACTCAATATGCTCTAAGTCCTAAACTATAGGCGATCACGTTATATTTTTTTTGTGATGAATTAAAATATTCAAAGCTTTAATTCAAAGTTAAAATATTGAAAAAAAATATGTCGAAGTTCCTCAAACATCTATTTGAAATATTCACTTCCGGTTTACGTAAAAAGAAACAAATTTATAATTCAATAAAAAAAATAAAAACTGCATCCTTTTAACTTTCAGAAACGATATTTTTAAGATATTTTTACAAATTGATTGATACAAATAATAAGCATTCAAAAAGTACGGATATCATCCTTCGTAAATTTTTAAAAGCTCATAACTCGGCAATAAAGCATTATACGAAAAAAATAATGTATATGCACATCCATTTCCACTAGAACTATAACTGACCAGAGTATGAACAATTTTCACAACCTCACTTTATTTTCGTTGTCCGCTTCATGTGAAATTCCCCATATGTTATTTGCGAATAATATAATTATTTGGGAATATTTTTTATCTGTCTCATCAATATTTGTTAGTTAAATGTTCCAAAGTATTGTGCTTAAGCCTTAAACCTAAAATATATGTCGACGCAGGACGGCCAACATCAGAATTATTCATTATAGTGGGCGTGATCTTAAATAATGTCTTTTAACAGATAAAGTAGAAATTATAATCAACTAATTCAATTACACTTCACACACTCAGAACTATATACGCAATATTTTAAAATACATTTTGTATTTTTAAAATACATTTTTTATTTTGAAATCGTGCTTATATTTCTTAGATTTCTTAACTACTGCTATAAGGCTGTGAGACAGTCACAATTCAGATCCAAACATATATCAAAACTAGCAGTACCCCGCAGCTTCACCCGCGCTCAATTGCTAGTATTGCACCATGTTTAGTATATAGGATGCGTGCTCTGGAGGAGTGTGCGGTATTTTTTGGATAGGGTAGATGATAGCATGGCCTGTCAACTTTGTTTTACGAATAAGTAGGTGTGCTTAATAACAAGAAAGAGACAACGACATCAGAGTATATGAGAGGAATATATACATTTGTATAATGTTGCCACCAAAAATAAGATCTGGTATTCTCTGTAATAATGAGGTTATTAATTGATTTTTAAAGTAAATTGACCTTGAAAATACATTTTATATATAATTCTGATGCCAAACAAATATATTTAATTAAGAAATATAATATATTCAATTGATTATTATGTAATAAAAAAATGATATGGAATATAATGTGTGGCAACACACAAGAAAAATGTCTGCCTTGTACTTGTTTATTTGTAATAAATATTCCATTTAAAAATTAATTCTACATTACATTGATAACGTTGAGTCGAGCTTGCTCCTCCGTGGCTGTGTTTTGGTGAAATTAAATGTGCATTTGTGAGATATAGACTCGGTGTTGAGATAGTGACTCTTGTTTGATTTTGTTATTTGTGTTTATTTTCTCGATGATCATTACATACACATGCTTATCATTTGTGAACAAATTCATGTATTCATGTAAAATCAGTAATAATATATGTTGCCTAAATGAATCTGATAAATTATAATTATTATCATCTATACATAATATAATAAAATTTTAACTGAGGAAAATCTGTACATTAAATATTTTTTGAAAATCTTATTAAAATAGACATTATACAGAGGTCAAATCTATAGTTTTTAGAATTTTTGTCTGTCTGTCTGTTACCGCATCTCGGAAAAACCACTGGAAGGATTTTTATGAATTTTTTTATGATGATATCCGATAATTATCCGGGTCAACATATAGGATACTTTTTACCGCAGGAAAATATCTCATTTCTGAGAAAAAATACAAAAACTGTAATGTAAGAGTATACTAATAAGTAAAACCTAAGAATTTGGTTTTTGGTCATCTGAACGCGGGTGGAGCCGCGGGCAATGCTAGTGGTAAATAAAAAAGTAAAGTACGAATCTTTGTTTTATTAAAATACTCCTTATAAATTATTTTAGCATTTTATGCACAAGTACACTGTGTTTCTACATAGTGATTTTGTTTACACTCCGCGACAAAAGTATAACCCACCCCCCTAATTTTGTAATATCCAATGTAAGACTAATTTATCTTGATATATTACTATTGCATTAATATTTTTTATTTGTTTGTAGTATTATAATATGTGTTCAATTACATTCTAAGTTGTTTTCTTATATTACGGCGTGATTGTTAGTTTGATAGTGCGACAAAAGTATAACCCATAACTTACTTTGTCTTGAACAACTTCATGTTTTAGACGTGTCAGTTCCTTTTTATACTTGTTCTGCGTTCCTCGTAAATTATTACGTACTAGAAAATTATTTTTATTGATATTTATTTATTTCTAAAATAAAAGGCCACGTGGGAAACGTTTCAACGAAAGTGGAATTAGTTTAGTTAGGAAATTGTATTCTAAAAATTGGTCGAAAGTTAGAATTGCAAAATTTATCAATAGAAGTCATCGTGTTGTATTTAATTTTCTAAAAGATCCTAAAAATTATGGCAAAAGAAAGAGGACTGGTCGACCAAGGGCAACAA